ATCATATACGTATATAAGTGCGATGCGAATTCGCAATGATATCTCTTGTTCTTGGTGTTCTCAGGCAGGTTCCAGATTTAATATAGAAGCCTAAACAAGTAGTATTTTTCTTTCAAGGGTTCCTCAGGACATACTTTGAGTATCATAACCCACCAAATCCCTATGTTGATTCTTCAGGCTCCTACGCCAGCTACTAAAGTTGCTTTCGAGGGTCGTCTTGCTCAGGGGACGGAGTCTGGGGCTTGAAGTTTAGTATAGGGGTCTGAAGAAAAGAGTAACAGGATTCCCGTATTGGTTTAAGGTTCAGTTTTATGGTTGCCATGCCTTTTATGTAGGAACCTGATTAAGAAACCCTGGGCCGAAACTTCTTCGAAATAGTAGGATTCAAAAAAGGAGCCCTCATAAAGGCACAAGGTTTCTTAATCAGGCTCCTACATTACATCATGCTACACCCCAGGACCTCGTTCTCAATATTCAGCCCTCTAAACCCCATAGAACTCTTCCTAGAATTTTTGGAGGCCTTAAGCCCACAGCATTGTTAGGGATCAGGGGCTTGGGGTGTAGGTTTTCAGATCCTGGGAAGTTTTGAGACCTTGTTCGTCTTGAGGTTCTAGGGGTCCTGATTTTGCAGTTTTTGGGCCAGAGACTCTACCAGATTTGGCTTTCGGATTGTTTAGGGCATCTGGACATGAGCAACCCCAAAGCCCAGTCAAGACATCAGTAGACCATATACCCACCGCTTGGAGTATGTTCTTGAAGGGTTTTCCCGGCTCGCCGAACGTTGATCCCTAAAACCCTGAACCCTGAACCTCAAAACCGTGAACCCTAGACTCTAAACCCTAAGCCCGAAACCTTAAACCCGCAACTCCATAAGCCTAGACCCTGGATCCCATCTGCTTACATCCTCCCCCCCCGCCGCCAGCAGAAATAAACGGATTTCTGAAAATTGGGGGTCGTTTTCAGCCGTCCCTATCATAAGTATCCTGTTGTCTGTTATTTTTATGTGGGGTCAATAGCTCCCTAGAAACCCTGTAGAGTCACCGAAAGCAAAGGCTGTAGAAAGCCGTAAAGAAACCTTAGGCTTGAGGGTTCCCTAAACCCTAAACCCTAAACCCTATGGTAAATCTATAGAAGCTCTATGCAAACTCCTTTGACAAACCACAGGGACGCTTTCGGATTTCAAGCCTGTCGGAATCATATGACATGCAAGCCTTCAGAAATCCTGTAAAACCCCCAGGCACCAATTTCTGGCTCCTGTACCCTAACCCCGCAGACCCGCAGACCCAAAAGCCCTTAAGCACTACACCTTAAAGGCCAAACCCTCAGTCCGAAAACCCTGGTGTTTAGGGTTTAGGGGTTTAGGGTTTAGGGTTTAAGGGCTAAGGGTTTAGGGTTTAGGGTTTAAGGGCTTAGGGTTTAAGGGTTTAGGGGTTTAGGGGTTTAAGGGTTCAAGGGTTTAGGGTTTAAGGGTGTAAGGGTTTAGGGTTTAGGGTTTAAGGGCTTAGGGTTTAAGGGTTTAGGGGTTTAGGGGTTTAAGGGTTTAAGGGTTTAAGGGTGTAAGGGTTTAGGGTTTAGGGTTTAAGGGTGTAAGGGTTTAGGGTTTAGGGTTTAAGGGCTTAGGGTTTAAAGGTTTAAGGGTTTAAGGGTTTAGGGTTTAGGGTTTAAGGGTTTAGGGTTTAGGGTTTCTATACCTTGAAAGTCTGCGCCCCTCTTGCAGGAGCAATTTTCGGCTTACTCGGGCTACGGTCGCTCGCTGGCATACGCTGGTGATTTCCGGGATCCAACGCCGAAAGACGAGGAGGGCCGCTTTTTGTTGGTCTACAGCCGTAACCCGAACCCCTTCCACACCACGTTGTAACCCCGGAAAGCATAAACCCTAAACCCTAAACTCTAAACCCTAAACTCTAAATTACTAAAGGCCTGAACCCTCGCCGAAGCCCTGGGCCAGCAAAACAGACCTTATCCTGCCATTACCCACAATAAAGAACAAACCATAATTCCCATAGTTTAGGGTCCTTAAGGTAATGCAGGATTTTTATATCATAACCCTAAACCCTAAACCCTATAGATCCCTCATAGTAGCCCTTATGAATCCCCTTAACAGGAACCCAAAACCCTAGAATTTTATAGGAAACCTTATGGCTTGTTTTCGGTCTTTGCTTCGGAACCCTAGTGGCTTGTGGCTTCAAGCCTAATGTAGGAACCTGATTCAGAAACCTAGGGTTCTTGTTTGGGTTCCTTTAAAGGGGGCTATAAGGGCTACTATAAGGCATCTATGAGGGTACTCTAATAATGTAGGAACCTGATTAAGAAACCTAGGGTCCTTATGAGGGCTCCTTATATGGGTGGTTGTCAAAATTAGGGTCCCTTTTTGGGTCCTTAATATAATACGGCACTTAATATTTAGGGTACCCAAGAAGGGACCATAATTTTGTCAACTACCCATATGAATCCTAGTGTTTTGGCGTTACAGGACCAGGGGTTTCTTAGTCAGGTTCCTACATTACACTTTACGCCGCAAGCCTTCAAAATTTGGGATCAAGGCTGTTTGGATTTCGGGCTAGTTGGTTCGTGGGCTTTCTGAAAAAAGGGAGCCTGCATGTCCATGTTGGTGTTAAACGATGACCGCTTGCAGAGACTTGGTCCGGAAGTTCTTGCAGATTTTGCGGCAATAGGCGTTTAGCTTTATAAGCCCTCATTAGGGCTGAGGGCTTCAAGCTAAGGATATTGGGCTTGGGGTTTTGTCCCACAACGCCCCAAACGGCGTCTTCAAAACCAAGGCCCAGAGCCCCCGAAACTCTAAAGCCCTACGAAAACCTTAAAAACAAAAAATAAGGAACCCTTAGAGGGTCCCTAAACCCTAAACCCAAAGCCCCCAGCTGCAGATGCGAAGGACGGCACGGTGCTGGTGGCCATCACGGCCATGGATGCCTTAGACTTCCGGGGTCAGGCCGGGTGTCCCGAGAGGGTTTGGGGTTTAGGGATTTAAATTTTTGGGGCCCATAGGGTCTGGGGATTTAGGGATTTAGGGTCTAGGGTTCAGGGGTTTAGGGTTTAGGGGTTTAGAGTTCGAGATCGAATGCACCTGAAATTGTGGCGACCTTTAATGTTGTGATTCGGAGCTTTACGAGTAGTACTAATACCCCCTGAATAGGGAATAGGATTTGGAGGCATTAATGCTGACATATGTTGTTAGCGTACATCCCTTAGTTAAGGGTTATTGGGCTTTCTGTGTAGGGCTTTGGGTTTAAGGCTTTCTGTTAAGGTTTCTGCGGGGGGTTCCATAAGGATTCTAGAGGCAATCCTAATCTGAACAGTGAGGCCGCCAGTCTCAACTTGAGGTCTAGGATGAGGGTTCAGGATATTGGAGTTTGGGGGTTTGCAGAATGGTCAGGGGGGTTCGGTTCTTAGGGTTTGGGGGTTTAGGTGTCTGGTTGCAGGTTTTAGGGTTCAGGGCAAGAAGGCTCCCTAATTGCAGAGCTAGCCCAAAGAGCCCAATAGTGGTTCTTTCAGGAATCGAGTTTAACACTAACGTGTAATTAATCGCACGATGAAGCCCCTTTTAGTTGAACGTATATTGCATAGCGAAGGAGTATTGGGCTCTCTATGACTGTTAGTCACCGGGCTCTTCTGTCCAACCTGAGCCCAAAAACCGCAAAAACCGCACCCAGAGAGCTCAATACCACCAAATGCAAGATTCCTGAAAATGCGGAGTGATCTCCCTAAGGGTCCTAAGGACCCCATAACTAGGTGCTTAGGTTTCGGGTAGTAGTTAGGCAGCTTACTTTTTGGGAGAGTATATGATTATTAGGGAACTTGCGCCCTTACGGTGATTCTAAGACAGTCTATGGGTTTAGTAAATACCGGTGTATCGATTGCCCTGGTGGACTTTCGAGAAACCCCTAGCCTCTAAACCCTATACTCCCCAAACCCTTAAAACAACCTATACTCCCAAAACCCTAAACCCTAAACCCCAAACCCGATACTCCCTAAGCCCTAAACCCCTAGCCCCTAAACCCTATACTCTATACTCCCTAAGCCCTAAACCCTAAATCCTATACTCCCTAAACCCTAAACCCTATACTCCCGAAGCCCTGGAGCTGAGGATGCTCCTCTTTCGCAGCAGCTGGAGGATGTACTGCTCCTTCGTGAGCTGGAGAGTCTCGTCGTCTTAGCCTTGGAGGGTCGGGGGACTTAGTAAGGCTCCTTAAAGGGATCCTTGAAGGGCTCCTTAATGGGATCTATAGGGGGATTATAAGGGGATCTACGAGGGAGGGTGGGGGACTTAGTAAGTAGGTATTAAGTAGAGTTATATGATAAGTACCCCAAAAGAGATCCTATTTGGGGGTGATGGGAAGCCCTGAACCCTTCCGCCCTCATTCCGGTTCCCGAGATTCAAGAGATGCCTGGTGGTTGCTGACAGCGTTTAGGGTTTACGGTGGAGGGGGCTTTGGGTTTAGGGGTTGGGGTTTACGGTTTAGGGCAACGTGGTTTAGGGTTGATTTCGGGTACAATGGAGGGTAGTTGGGGGTCACTCTTGTAGCCGAACTCCTTGACCCTTCAACTTTTCTACTTCCGAAAGCCTGAGCACTGAAACCCTAAGCCCCAAACCCTAAACCCGGAACCCTAAACCCTAAACCCCAAACCCTAAACCCTAAACCCTAATCCCTAAATCCCTAAACCCCAAACCCCCAAAAGCAAAGAGCTCAGGAAAGCAGCTGTTGCCTTCGCTCCAACCGACGAGGCTGAAACGGCAAGGGTGGTTTTTGGGGTTGCCCCTAGGGGTCCAGGTATCTCCTGCCTTAGGAGGGTCCGGAATCTCCTAGAGAGAGCGCTTGGGTCTCTCTGGAGTCTCAGAACTCCTACATTTTGAGGTTCCCCGAAGTGTTAGGACGCTTAGGGTCATAGACTGCTGAAGCCTACGAGTCTGCCATGGACAAAAACTGCATGAATCCCCTTGTAATCCTTCAAGAAGCCCATTTACATCCCAGCAGCTCCGCAGACCCAAACCCCATAAAGAGACCCTAAACCCTAAACCCGTAGAGAGAGAAATCCTAGAAAGAGACCCTAAACCCTAAACCTTAAAAGAGACCCTAAACTGCCCTAAGCCCCCTAAACCCTATCCCCCAAGCCCAAAACCGTAACCCTAAACCAAGTTCGCTTCTGCCGAGGCCGCATTGCGCAGGTGGCCCGTCATCGCCACGGGTAACTGGGGCTGCGGAGCTTTTGGAGGCCTTCGCTGGAGTCCTTTAAGGGGCTCCTGTGAGGGGGTTAAGTGTTCCTTGTAAAGGGGTCTATCAGGATTACTATAGGGGGAACTACTGGGGTTTAGTAGAGAGGCCTTAATAACTACCTACAGTATTTTGGGTGGTCCCTTATCAAAAAGTACAGTATAGTGGGCCCCAAAACTTTATTCTAAATATTAAGTAAGGCCCCTATATTAAGGGGCTCCTTGAAAGAGCATTCTACCGGCTCCCTAAAGGGATCCATCAAGGGTGCAAGAAGGGGTTCCTTGAAAGGGCTTGGTTCAAGCTATTATGATCGGATTGTTTAGACAACGTTTACCCTTTTTAGGGTTCCGAGAACGAAAGCTCTGACATCCATATCGATTTCAAGCGTGACTCCGTCGCACTCAGGCACTCCACTCCGTTACTGGGTTAATCCTCCAAGACTCCAAAATCCCAATATCAAGCCTAAACCCTAAACCCTAAACCCTAAACCCTAAACCGGATCCGGCCTTTTGGATTTGTTGTCTTTCCTTCTCCTCCGCTCCTACCGGCGAGGCAGCTGGGCAAGCTAGTCGTAGAGTCGTAGCTTAGGGTTTAGGGTTTAGGGTTTAGGGTTTAGGGGTTTAGGGTTTAGGGTTTAGGGTTTAGGGTTTAGGGTTTAGGGTTTAGGGTGCGAAGCACGCGAAAGCAGTGAAGGAGTCGAAGAGCACACCTTCAGGCCTCCCGGAGCAGCTTCTCAAAAGAAAGCAGGCAGTCCTTCTCGCGCTCTTTTCGCTGCCGTCTGCTGCTTAAGCTGCTGCTTGAACTTCGCGACGACTTCTCCCTCCCCTGTTAAGATTTCTTTGTATAAGTCTTGAAAAAGGGAGGTTATTTGGGTTCAGGGTTCTTTTTTTTAGAGTTCCTGTAAGGGTAGTATAAGGGTTCTTTCAAGGCTTCCTTCAAGGGATCTGTCAGGGTACTGCAAGGGTTCCTTTAAAGGCCCCTGTAAGGGCTCCTACAAGGGGTTCTTTGAAGGGCTCCTTTAGGAGCTCCGTTAAGGGTTCCGACGGCTCAGGACGCACAGGGCTTAGCCTATTTTCTTGAGGTTTAGGGCTCGTAGGGTTTGGTCCCTTTTTAGACGCAGGGTTCAGGGCGTTAGCCACCGCATAACATTCGAGTGGCATGTGCTTCAAGACACGTGGAGAGGTTTGAACTAGTTCGTAGTATGTTTTTTCCTCCTTAAGGGTTCCCAGGTGCCAAAACTACCCTCTTCTATTTTTCAACTACCTATACCACAGTTTTTTCAAATCCCGATACCACACACTAAAACCCACACAAAGCTCTATGACGCCCAGAAACCTTGTCCAACTATCAAGATATCAAAACTGAACAGCCCTGCACTGGGGCTCCCTGATCCTCAAAGGAAGCTCTCTGCTCAGAATACACCCTAAACCCTAAACGCAAAATCCCTACACCCCCAAACCCTAAACCCAAAGCCTTAAACCCTAAACCCTAAACCTTATAACATTTAAACCCTAAACCTTAAAAACCCTCAAGCCCTAACCCTTAAACCCTAACCCCTAAAACCCTAAACCTTACAACCCCTAAACCCGGAACCGAGAGATGAGAGGCTCCGAAAATTAAGGGTACCTGGTTTTGGGGTCCCTGATAATAGGATCCTATTATTTAAAGGGTTGAGGGTTTACGGTTTTAGGCTCTGTATTAAAGAAATTAGGGGTACCTTATGTTGGGGTCCTCAAAATAAGAACTCAATTATTTAGGGTACTGTCTTAGGGTTTCCTCATTTTCGGAGACTCCCAGATGGAGAGGGGTTTTTGGGGAAAGTCCCAGATGGAGAGGTACTGTCTTAGGGTCCCCTTATTTCGGAACGTCCCAGATCGAGAGGCTGCGTCGAGCTGAAGGCCATCCTCCAGTGGCTCGCCGCCTCCGAGGGCTCGAGGCCTCCCCGGGCTCGGAGCTACTTTGCTTCTTGTTGAGGGTTTTAGGTTTTTTTTTAAAGGCTTTTGAGAGTTGTTAGGGCGTTTAGGGTGTTAGGGTTTCTAGGGTTGTTTAGAGGCTTTTAGGGTGTTTATAGGATTATAGGGTTTGTATTTTATTTTTTGTGTTTTAGGGTTTCAGGGGTTTAGGGATTTAGTGTTTCTGGGTTTAAAGGTTTAGAGTTTTAGGGTTTAGGGTTTAGGGTCCCGAGTAGCCTTTTGCCCTGTGTATTTTTTGGGCTTCCTTCTTAAGACAGAACAGCTAGGGTACCCTTATCATAAAGGGGCTACTCAGGAACCAAGTTGTTGATGGTTTAGGGGCTATGCTTTCGGGTTTGGGGTTTAAGGTGCAGGGTTTCGGGTCCAGAGGGGTTTAGGGTTTTTGGGGTTTGGCGGCTAGGGTTTATGGATCAGGGCTCGGAAACGTCTGGGGTTTAGGATCTACGGATCAATGAGGTTACGTGCTGTTACAGGAGATTTACAATAAGGGTCCGAAACATTTCCAAAAGTCTCCCCTTCTGAAAGTCCTAACCCTGTAAACTCCTAAACCCCTAATTTAAACCCTAAACCCCTAAGCCCCCTAAACCCCTAAACCAACTTGCTTCCTCTCTCTCTGTCCGAGGTGGGTTTGAGTTTCTGGTTTGCAGTTCAGAGCCTAAGTTTCAACACGTCGTAGGGCCATTTCAGGGTTCAGAGCTCTGGCGTTTAGGTACAAGTTTCGGGGTTTAGGAATCAGGTTGCGCGATGTCGACTCTGTTGGGTTCTGAGAGTGTCCGCAGTTGCTGTAGTACACCTCCGCAGACCCGTACGTAGTTTCTCTCACAAGGCCTCAGAGTTTTGGGTTGGTTCTATGCGGTTCCACTCGTGGCAGGCTTACTTGTGCTACCGCTGTTCTCTTCGCGATCAGATAAACCCTCGCAGCCTCCTCCCCCAAATCCCTTGAAGCGTTGAAGGCCACTCCCTTTTCCCCGAGATCCCAGATTATAAGCCTAAGCCCTAAACTCAAACAGCTGAACCCGTTGTAGCCCGTATAAGCACATTTGTACAACCCTCGTAAAGCCTTGAAGAAGCCCTCTACAGCCACCGACAACGCAAGGCAAGAACTCCAAACCTACACCCTCAGTCCTACGTCATGAACCTTGCCCCCTGCATCCCCAACCTCAAATTCCTAAACCCTCAATCGCCTAACCCCAAACCCTAAAATTAAAATCCTCCACGCTAGACCCTAGAAAATCTGCTACGCGAGTGAGGCAGCGAGTCAATCGAACCATGTCATTGGGCCCCTTTAAGTCAAGGTCTCTTCCCTTATCAAGGGCTTTATAGGCCCCATAAAAACGGCCTACAAAGCTACGAAGCCCTAACCAAAAGCCTTAATCTCTTCTCCAAGCTTCTCACTTAGTAGGGAATAGGGGAATGGATCCCTAGAATAGTACTGGTACCTTAAGGTTCCTTCGTGTCTCGGAAGGGAGACCCTAAACCCTGCATTCCTTTCCAATTAGAACAGGGTTTTTGGGTATATGATAGGATATCTATAACAAGGAGCCCTAAGAATATTATTGGTAATTACTTAGGCTTCCACCCCAAACCCTAAACCCCAGACCCTTAACCCTAAACCCTTCCGTATTAAGCGGTCTTGGGCAGGCAGCTCCTCTACTTTCCCTACGATGTTCCGCTTGGTCCCGCCTTGATGGACCTCGCGGAGAACCTCACGCGCCGAGGCCGGAGAGGATGTGCTTAAAGGATCATGGGCCTTAGTAACTAGTGTTATGATGAGGGTGACTCTACTTGTAAGTTACCTATTATAAAGTCCCATGATTCTCCAAGTGGGGCCTCGGTGGGGTACTGCCCCCATACAGTAAGAGTCTGTAATAGGGCTAACATTAAGGTCCTAATGTATCTATATTGTGAGTATTATTCAACTATTACTGAGTGGGGGCCGTGCCGAGGGTCTCTGGCCTGAGGGTCTTGTCGGGTTTGAGGTTCAGGGGTTGAGAGTTTTGGGTTTTGAGGTTTAGGGTTTAGGGTTGAAGGGAGTCAGGGCCTGACCCGAAGCCCTAAACCCCTAAACCCTAAGCCTTAAACGGCTTAGGGTTTAGGGCTTAGGATGCAGGGTTTTAGGGTTTGGGACCCTGGACCCTGTACCCTGAGCAAGGCTCCTTTATGCTCCAAGCTGTCCCGTGGCTTCCTTAGAAGATATATATATATATATATGTCATAGATTTCTTCATATAAACAAACAAATATCAATATAAAGAAAGAAAGAAATAAATACATACACACACACACACACACATATATATATATATATATGTGCAATATAATATTTATACACATACATACACATAAGTCAGTATACAAATAATATCTACATGTATATATATATATATATACATATGTGTAGACGGGCAATCCAGCTCCAGGATTTCGTTCTAACCTCGAGCCAACACCAGGGTTTTGGAGTGGAGTGTCTGAGTGGGCGGCCAGAACCTAAACCTCTGAACCCCCAGATCCTGACTCCTAAACCGTTTCTACAACCCGTCAAGAAGCCTTTATAAACCCTGAAAGGAACCTTATATACTTTACCCCCAAACCCTAGAGATCCCTTATAGGAACCCCTAAAGGAACTTTTAAGGGATCCCTTTAAAGGGTTGGTCTCGCGGCACGTCGCAGGAGCGACTGTGGGTTCCCTCTTCACGGCGCTTACGAGCGAGCCCACGGCGCGGAGGGGAGAGGAACCCGACTGAAGATTTCTGGGTAACTTTTAGGACGGGTTCAGAAGTCAGCCAAATAGTTATAGTGACCTTCGATATAACGCCACCTGAAGGATCCGGTTTGGGGTTTTCCAGGGGTGGGTGGGTTTTTCGGAGCTTTGCGCGGGTACTCCCTCCCGCCTCTTTGCCTCCTTCTCAGCTCCACATCCTTTCCCACCTGTTCCTCTCCTGCTCCCATCCCGAACCTTAAACCCCTATAAACTCCTTAAACCTCAAATCCCTACACCCTAAACCCCTAAACTCCTTAAACCTCAAACCCCTACACCCTAAACCCCTAAACCCCTATAAACCCCTAAACCTCTATAAACCCCTAAACCCCTAAACCCTAAACCCCTGCCCCCTAAACCCTAAACCCCTACACCCCTAAACCCCTATAAACCCCTAAACCCTAAACCCCTAAACCCCTAAACCCGAAACCCCTAAACCCCTGTGAACTCCCACCCCCTCAACCCCCCAGGGTTCAGTGCTTGGATTTAGGATTTAGGGCTCAGGGCTTGGATTTAGGGTTTAGGGGAGGGCTTGGATTTAGGGTTTAGGGTTTGGGTTTGGGATTTAGGGTTTAGGATTTAGGGTTTAGGATTTAGGGTTTAGGATTTAGGGTTTAGGATTTAGGTTTAGGATTTAGGGTTGAGGGTTTGGGGTTTCCCAAACCCCAAACCACAGGTCTGGTGGAAGGAGCCCTGGATGCACGCACTTTCACTCCCCAGCACGCAACTTACATCTGCAAGCGCCTTAAGCTAAGCGCTAAACCATAAACCTTAGTCCCTCCACACCTAAACACCAAATCCCAACTCCCAAGTTCAAAACTTTGAAACCCTAAACCCTCAACCTTAAACCCTAAGCCTTAACATGCGGGAAGCTGCAGAAGCTCCAGGCCGCGATCTGTAAGATGAAGAGCCTCGCCGCAAAGGTGCTGTGGAAGTTGTCCTGCGACGACTACTTGTTCGAATCACCACTCGACGACCGAGAGCACTACCTCAACCGCATCACCCGACATGCCCTTTTTGGCGAAAGACCTTCAGCTCCTCCAGGCCGGACAGGAGCACCTGGACTAAGACCCAGGCGTCGCGATCTGAGTCGAGCTGCGTTTGTGAAAATCGGCAAAAGGTCTAGCTTTTCCTCGCTCGAAGGGGCTGCCACAGTCGCTTGTTCGACGCCATGCATGTTGCACAACATCACTGTACGCAAGAACCCAACAGAAAGCTGTGAATCACCGTGAAACACCAAACCCTCGCTAAACCCTAAACCCTAAACCCTAAACCCCTAAACCCCTAAACCCCTATAAGCCCCTAAAGCCTGAGCCCTAAACCCTAAACCCTCCAGGACCTGTTCGAGCACTTGAGGGAGCGGGTGGGTATGCACGGCGGCTAGTTGCCCCTGGCTGCTTCCGTGGCACCAGTACGGTTGATGATATAAATCCCTAGGGTTCCTTTAAAGGGATCAATAGGGGTACCTTTAAGTGCTTCTTTTAAGGGCTTCCTCTAAGGGATCTAAAGGGTTTAGGGCTTAGGGTGGATGATAAAAGTCCTGCATTACCTTAAGGACCCTCAACTATGGGAATTATGGTATATCCCTTATTATGGGTCATGCAGGATTTATATCATCAACCGTAGTAGTTGTAAAAGTAGTAGCAGCAGCAGAAGCAGTAGTGGCAGTAGCAGCAGTATCCGTAGCCGTAGCTGTAGCGGCAGCAGTGGTCGGAGCAGGATGAGGCGGCAGTGTTTGAGGCAGCATCATAACTTCCTTCATGCTGCTCTTGCTTACTACGGGTTATGTGGCCTTTCTTTTGATGTCAGTCTAGGCACTTTGTTAAACCCTAAACCCTAAACCTTAAGCCATGTTACTAGGCTGAGCTCTGAATGCAGCCAGAGCAGACTGCGTCGCAAATTGGGCTTCCGAGCCGTTTCGTGCCACAAGGGCCTTGGAGCTTTGTACAGTCCGTGGCAGAACAGAGCAAAAGAGAACGGTTGAGGGTTTAGGGTTGGTCAGGTGTGGGGCGGGGCTCCGAGGTTCAGGGTTTAGGGGCTTAGGGTTTAGGGCCAATGTTGAGGGTTTAGGGCTTCGGGGGTAGGGTGTGTTGGCTTAGGGGTTAAGGTGTAGAGGTTTAGGGCAAAGGCGTTTAGGGTTCAGGGTTTACCCGCCACATTTTTCCGTTGGGTTGGCGTCTGCCTAGTCTAGTTCATCCTGTCAAGTTCAAGCACGCCATACAAAGCTCAACTCTACAATCTTCCCCTTCCCCCCTCCACCAGGATTGTCACGCCATGACATTTTTTTTTTTTTTTGTGGGGGGCCCTCCTTCAATCTCCAACTCCCAACCCGTAAACCCTAAGCCCTTAACCCAGTTTCGCTCCTCCTCGGAGCCTGACCCGGGCTTGAAGCATGAGGCCCTGATTCTTAGGCTCCCTCATGCTCCCAACCCTAAATTACTAAAGCCTTTTCTTTTCCGGGAACCTTGATTGAACAAAAGCAAAGCCCCCAGAGTTTCAAGCTCTTAAGACCTCAATGGTCAACGCTGTCTTTTACAACTTTACATCCCAAACCCTATCTTCGCACGGCCAAGAGACTCCACATCTTCATGTAAAGATCCCCATGCTTAAAGAAACCACCAGAATAGGACGCATATCGCGAACCCTCAAATACTGATTACTGATTAGGAAGTTTTAGATCTCTTATCTATTTGGAGAGACTTCGCCAAATCAGGAATGTCCCTTAGAAAGCTTGTCCTTAGACAGCTTAGTAAAGGGGTGTTGGGGTTTCTAGGACTCCTTATCGACACCCTGTGTAAAACCCTGACAAAGCCCGTCCAGAATTATCGAACCCTTATGGCACCCTCGGCCCTAAACCGTACTTGGAGCGTCGGGGGACTTAGTAAGTAGGTAATAAGTAGAGCCACGAGTATCCCAAAAGGTATACTAATTGTGGGGCTATGGTACTTAAGACTCGATCAAGTACCTACTTGGTAAGTAAGTCCCCCGACCCTCCAAGTAGACCCTAATCCCTAAACCCCGATTAATCCCTTTTATTTAAGGAACCCCTTTAAGGATCCGTTTAACGAACCCCTTAAGGAACCCCTTAAGGATCCCTTTAAGGATCCGTTTAAGGAGCCTTCGTAAGTCCCCCCCAAACCCTAAACCCTAAAACCTAAACCCTAAACCCGAAACCCTAAACCTTAAACCCTAAACCCTAAACCCTAAACCTTAAACCCTAAACCCTATGTCCTAAACCCTAAACCTTACACCCTAAACCCTAAACCCTAAACCGCAGGCAAAGTCCGGCACGTCTTCCTGCGCGCACCTCCTCACCCGCCTTGAGGTCTCCCAGGGCTGGTGCCCAGAGACTCCTCGGGTCCCTTTAAAGGGATCCTATAAGGTCCCTTTAAAGGAATCCTATCAGGGGTTCCTAGGGTCCCTTTAAAGGGAGCCCTTAAGAGTTCCCTTAAGGGTTCCTACGGTTGATGGTATAAATCCTGCATTGCCTTAAGGACCCTAAACTATGGGAATTATGGTATATTCCTTATTGTGGGTAATGCAGGATTTATATCATCAACAGTATGAAGGGATCTTCAGGCTTTTCAGTCTAGGGGATTCCAATATCCCTTAATCAAGGAATATTCCTTAAATCATCTTCGGGATCCTATTATAGTTTAAAGTATAATTCTTAATTAAGGGCTATTGGAGTCTCTGGGTGAGGTTCAGGCTGAGGGTTCGAGCGCTTTGGGGTTGTAGGGTTTGAGGGGGTTTAGGGTTTAGGGTTTAGGGGTTTAGGGTTTAGGGTTTAGGGTTTAGGGTTTAGGGCTTGTCGAGTTTCAGGGTTCCAGGTTTTAGGGTGCACATGCTTTTCGTCCGGGTTTTGCATGGGCTTGGGGCAGTTATTGGCAGAGTTCTGGACAGTTTCCTATATACCTAAACCCTGAACCATAAACCTGAATGCTCTAAACCCTATTATAGATCCCTTAAAGGAACCCTTCTTGATCCCCTACAGAACCTCTACTACAGACTACAGAGGCCTTGGGGTTTGGACGGCTTTCCAGGTTCAGGTTGACGGGTTGCAGGGCAGAGCTCGGGTCCTTTTTTTTGAGGGTGTAGGGGTTGAAGGATTTGACGGGTTGAGGGTTTAGGGCTTAGGGCTCAGGACGCCCAGAAAGCACAAAAGCTCTTCCTCAGTTAAGGGCTGTTGGGTGTTCTGGCTGAGCTGAGACCTTTTTTGAAGGAAAAGAAAGCCATACCCTAAACCCCAAACCCGCAGTAAATTTACACCCTGAAACCACCTAAGCCCCTCATGCCCCAAACCCCCAAACCCGAAACCCTTACACCCGAAACACTCGGCCCTTAAACCCTAAACTCCTTAACCTGAGAGCTTCAGAAGCTGTAGCGCTGGCGCGGAGTCGGGTTGTCACTACTACTTCTTATGGTTAAGCTTTTTGCCTCGTTGCATCTCAGATGAATCTCCACATACTACAAATATAAGCGAGGGTCGGGACAATTCGTAATTGGATCCCTTCATCATTGTCCTTACATCTTCATAATATTTCATACGCCAAACCCTGGTCTAATCATCGAGGCGTTCCTACCTATCTATCTACCTATCTATCTGTCTATCCAGTTATTTCTCCACCTACGTATCTATCGATCTGTCGATCTGCCGGTCTATCGGTCCATCGATAGAGCGATCTATTCATCTACCTGTCTATCTAGATATCTTCGCTGAATTGTTTAAGGATTCCTGTGAGGTTTCTTCTTTCGCCAAGAGCTTGCCGGTTTGTGCGTCCCAAAGCTGAACCCTAAATCCGAAACCATGTGCACACGCGTCCACCGGGAAATCCGGCGTCGAAGCTCGTCATACGTCGCTCACGCAGCTCAAAGCGGCAGGTTGAGTACAGGAACAGCTTGGAGTTTGCCCAGGAAGCCTCAGCCCCTCAACACGAAAACCTAAACTCCAAACCCAAAGCCCTAAACCCTAAACCCTAAACCCTAAACCCTAAACCCTAAACCCTAAACCCAAAGCCCAAAACCGTTTAAACCTTAAACCCCGAACCCCCAGACTGGCTTTTGAGATCCCCAGCACTCTCAGCCCCCTAAACCCTAAACTTTGAACCCTAAACCCCTAAACTCCTAAACTCTAAACCCTAAACCCCTAAACCCTAAACTTTGAACCCTAATCCCCTAAACCTCGCGCCCTTGAACGCTCAGCCGAAAGAGGCACTCAAGACCTGCGGGCGCCCTCAACACAGAGACCGACACCATGAATCCAAGACCCTGAACCCGGTAGCCCTGCCCGAAGGGTCCAGGTATCTTTTTAGGAGGGTCCGGAATGCCCCAGGGAGAGTCCTTGGGTCTCTTTGGGGTCTCAGAAGCCCTCGATATTGAGGTTCGCCAGTTTGTTAGGACTTGTTTAGGGTGAACTCCAAACTCGAAGCCCTAAACCCTCTCACCCTGAGACCGAAGCCTCAAAGCCCAAGCTCAACACCCTAGGCTTCACACCCATGCTTAGAGTTTTCTGCCATGGATCACCATTTTGCCCGGAGTTGGCTGAAGTCGCTGTCGGCGAAGCTAGAGAGCTTAACCGTGGCTCGTCCGACTGAAACCTGTTTGTCGTAGGACGGAGGGTTTCGCCGGGCGGTTTTGGTTGTGAATTCGTTTAGGGTCTGGGGTTTAGGACTTGAGTTTTGGCTGTAGTTAAGACCCCTGCTCAACAACTCTCTGCCTTTAGGCTCTTTCATGTTGGGACCCCGAATATTATCCACGTTTGATTTAACGTGAGCGGTTTCACTAATCAGGAATCTACATCATACTGTTGATGATATAAATTCTGCATTACCCATAATAAGGAATAGACCATAATTCCCATAGTTTAGGGTCCTTAAGGTACTGCAAGATTTATATCATCAACCGTAGCTAGGTTTTTCTGTCCTGGACCAGCCCCTGAAGCCCAAACCCTTTGACCGGGTGTTATACTTGGAGGGTCGGGGGACTTACTAAGTAGTTTTTTTAGGGACTTATAAGTACCATAACCCCAATTAGGGTCCCTTTTAGAGTACTTATAACTCTACTTATTATCTACTTCCTAAGTCCCCCGACCCTCCAAGTAAGTTTTATTCGTCTCGACGGGCTCGTAGCGGAGTTTTACAGCGCCTCCTAAACACTCTAATCCGTATAGAAACGCCAGAGACCCGTATATGGCCACCATCGTAAGCCCGAAGCTTGCGTCGTAAGCCCAGATTGGAGGGTCGGGGGGCGACTTAGTAAGTAGGTAGTAAGTAGGCAAATAAGTATCCTCAACTGGACCCTATTCGGGGTTATGGTACTTGCAACTCCAGAAAATCACCGACTACTAAGTCGCCCGACCCTCCAAGTATCATCTAGGGAAATGCGTATATCACCAAGTTGCATAGGGTGGAGGGTTCAGGGATGCCTTCATTCGGGGCCTTACGTGGCTTAGCGGGGGTTCCATAAAGTATGTCAGGCTTGCTCATTGGTGCTTCGTATGCAGAGAGCTCACAGCCCTTGATTCACGAACCTTGTAATTTTAGCCGCAAAGGCTTATGAGCATGAATTTCGCACTCTGGGTGGAATTCGCAATCCGTAGAGCCAGGCGTTTTTTTTCGGTTTAGGGTTGCGCCATAAACGCTAGACCCTAACCCTGAACCCTACACACTTAACCGCAAACCGCTACACACCCGCTCCCTCAGGAATGGTCCTGGGTCGGCGAACGACGCTGGGCTGTCGGCTTCGTATCCCTCGTGTTTCAGGGCTTAGCGGGGCTTAGTACCCAGAGGGTCCATGGGAGCTACAAGTGGGATCAGGTCCTCAAAGCCATTTTAGGGATGGTCTTTTGGTGCCTAGTTCCATAATGGTACTTTGCATGGACGCTCTGGGGTACTGATCTTGGGGTACTGATCAGGCAGGCTGAAGAATGAGTAACAATATCACCCTATGGTCCTTCTACGACCATCCTGTGAGAATCCAACAAACCGTATGTTGATTCTGAGCCGAAAGGGGTTCTAAGGCCAAGCACCCTCCAAGAGATCGAGTTTGCTAGCGACCAACGACAAACTCCTACCCTCCCAAACCTCTCGACCTTGGCACCCCCCATACCCCTAAACCCTAAACCCTACCCTGAGGGTCCAGGTATCTCCTGTCCTAGGGAGAGTCCTTGGGTCTCTTTGGGGTTTCAGAAACCCTCAATTGTGAGGTTCCCCAATCTGTTAGGACCTCAGACCGAAGCCTCAAAACCCAAGCTAAACCTAAACCCTAAACCCTAAACCCACACCCTGAAACCGCACATAGAAGCGGCAGAGAGGAGGTCGATTGGGGGAGTTTCAGGAACGCTGAGGAGATCTTCGTTTCGACCCGTTAGGGCTTGGGGCTTAGAGTTCAGAGCTTTGGGTTTAGGGTGCAGGGTTTAGGGTTCAGGGTTGAGGGTTCAGGGTTCAGAGCTTTGGGTTTAGGGTTAAGGGTTCAGGGTTGAGGGTTTAGAGTTCAGAGCTTTGGGTTTAGGGTTCAGGGTTGATACAAATTGTTTAGGGTTCAGGTCCGGAGTTTGGGGCGAGGTTTGTGTTTTGCTCTGCTTAAGCAATTTGTATTTATCCTTTGCTTGAGGGTTTAGGGTTCAGGGTTTGGGGTTTAGGGTCCAGGATCCTTGCTACATCCCTAAACCCTAAACCCTAAATCCTAAACCCTAAATCCTAAATCCTAAACCCTAAACCCTAAATCCTAAACCCTAAACCCTTTTAGGTTTTCGGACCCTTGTTACAACAAGTCTTTTTGGACCCTGCAGCTGGAAGGATGCCCGGAAATTCAGGACCCCTGGACCGGTTTTTTTCTGAACCCGACGCACTAAACCCGAAGCCCTACCTGGACCCTAAGAAACCTACTTTTTTAGGGTTCCTTAGTGTAATTTCCTTATATAAGTCCTTAGAAAGGTGGGTTATTTGAGGTTCAGGTAAGCCCTAAACCCTAAATCCTGCTCCACCCAAAGGGACTTCTACAACAACTAGTGTGTTTTGCTTTCGGGCTCGAGCAGTCACAAACAGGATGTGAACAAATATCCGGAATCCTTAAGCGCAAACCCTAAACCCTAAATCCCGAACCCTGAATCCTAAATCCTAAACCCTGAAGCCTAAACCCTATAGACTACCTGAACCCCCAATACCCTACCTTTTTAAGGACTTATATAGGAAATCATACTAAGGAACCCTAAAAAGGTAGGTTTCTTAGGGTCCAGGTAAACCCTAAACCACCAAGCAAAGAGTCGAAACATAAGGACAGGGCACCACTCAGACGCATCGACAACTCTTCCGGGACGGGGGTTCGGTGAAACTCCAGCAGAGGTTTTTGGGAGTTGAATATGGAGGTTGTTACTGTTGACTGACAAAATCCTGCATGACCTTAAGGACCCTAAACTATGGGAACTATGGTATATTCCTTATAGCGGGTAATGCAGGATTTTGCCCATCAACAGTATGAAGGGTTTTGGGGAGGTTTTGCGATATTTTGCACAGGGTTCTATAGTTTTCTGGATCATTCATGTAGTAGGGCCTTTCATGGTCTTATCAAGGGTGCCAAGGACCCTCCATGGTCAAGCAAGGAAGGCACCTCACATCGTGCTAAAGAGTTTGATAGACTAAGGCCTTAAAGGGATCCTTACAGGGCGAGGGAGGGTCGGGGGACTTAGTAAGTAAGTAACAAGCAGAGTGATAAGTACCCTAAAAGGGACCCTACTTGGGGTTAAGGTACTTATAACAAAATATATAACTACTTAACAAGTCCCCCGACCCCCCAAGTAAGGCATACTCCTTCATCACGGGCTTCTTAAGGTTCCTCAGTATAACTACACTAGAATCTGCACTGCCAAACGCTCTTCTAACTACTAATCAAGGCTGCTGCGTTGCATTCAGGGTCATAGGAGGATTTTTTACTTATTTTTCGGCCGAAACCCTATAACCTAAACCCTAAACCCTGAGTGCTTGCATAGATTTAGGGCATGTGTGGAACAGACTGGAAGGCTTCCATACTAAGATCCGAAACACCCTGGGTTTGGAGTACCATACATGAATACAATTTTTGGTACCTGCTCCTTAGAGGAACCATTTTGAAATCAATGTCTATACTTTTTTCTCCCTGGTTACTTCCAAGCACTCCCAGCAGGTCGGCCAAAACGCAAGAGCATGTTCTTGAAGCTGCAGCGCTCTTTCGACTAATATAGGTGCCTAAATACTTACCAATACTATCTTCGGGCGGGCCCCTATATGGGTGGTTGTCAAAATTAGAGTCCCTTTGTGGGGTACCCTAAATAGTAGGTGCCGTACTTTACTTAACAGGGACCCTAATTTTGACAACCACCTATATCATAGAGCCTCACCGCACCGGGGCCACTGATTGGAGTCCTTCGAGTTGCTGCGACTTGATGCCGGGTTGAGCTGAGACCTGCGGCTGCTACTTATGAGCTTGCTGCTAGCGCTTCTGCGGTTTTATTTTATGGTTACCACCACCACCACCATCATCGCCACGGCAACTCCTGCGGCTGCTACTTACGATTAACATGAAACCGAAGGATTTCTGATGTTGCTTTTTCATTAAAGATTTGATTTCATTCTTTTTCAACATGAGTCAGGCTTTGCGATGGCTCACCCGACCTCGATGTCCCGAACTTGAAGTCTGAACTCCTTTCCAGCCACCTTAGCCTTGCAGGAGTTTTTCTCCACTCCCTTTCAGAAGACACTGGCCTTGGTCGATGAGCAGAAGAAGGCACTTGCTTGGTAGTATTACTAGGGAGACCCCTTGAAGGGTACCCCTTCTGAACCCTACTTCTGGCCCTCTTAAAAGGGGCCCTATTGAGAGGGTCTATAACCCGCAAGGGTCCCCCTAATCCTGGCTCCCACTTGCCGCCTGCAACCCGAACCCTGATCCTCTCGGAGGCCTCCAAAGGTGGGATGAAGGTAGGTGGGATATTCCCAAATCAGAGTCCTTATATAAGGGATCCTTGATCCGACCCACCTTCATCCCACCTTTTGAGGCCTCCGATCCTCTCGATGTGGGGGGGGGGGGCAGTCGTCGTTGTCGTTGCCGTCGCTGCCCTCGATGTGGGAGTAGGGAGAAGTAGGAGCAGTGTGGCAGGAGTATTCGGTCGGTAGGGGTGATAGGGGGAAAAGGAGTAGTGAGAGTAGTAGGAGTAGTTGTAGGTGGGAGTAGGACTAGCAGGAGTAGGTGTGTAGGAGTAGGAGGAGTAGTAGTAGGAGTAGGCGGAGTAGGAGGAGTCGAAGTAGGAAGGACTAGGAGAAGGAGTAGCATCGGTGTCAGTAGTAGGCCGTCGTCGTCGTCGCTGGGCGACTGGTTAATTGCCATGGTTTGGTTTGGTGTTTCTCGATGGGGGGGGAGGGTGGGAGTTGCGGGGGATTAATCAATGACGATTTTTTGGCGTTACCGATGGATGGTGTTACATGCTTCTTGGCACCCTGATCATCTTCATCCTCCTCGTTCGCATCTTGGTGGTAACCCGAAGCCGATCCGCTGCCAGGAGGAGTTTGTCCAAGGGATCGAGAAGAACCTGTACAAGTTCGATCGGAAGACGCAGCAGTTCCCATTGGGCTGCCCCTTGCTTGCGCTTTGAGCCTTGGTTTCGGACCCGCCCTGAGCCCTAAACTCTAATCCATAAGCCTCAAATCTCCAAACGCTTCTCAAACCTGCAGCCCTTATGGTCCTTAACAGTGGGTATTTGGGGTATGGTGGAGGGCAGTTGGGGGGTGCTGGGTTTGGCCCTTTACCAGTACCGAAAGTGACCTTTTGCAAGGAGGCGCTTATAACTCCATTTCCGACTGCCTTGCTACCCTCGCTGAAGACCAGATCCGGCGCTGATTTGAAAGGGGAAAAGGAGGGACCCTTAATGGGGACCCTTACCCTATAATGGGCTATATAATGGGTATATAATAGCTATATAATGGGTATATAATAGCTATATTAAGGGTATATACCTATGGGTCCTTATTAAGGGTCCCTCCTTTTACCCTGGGATGATTCTAAGGTTTGTGCGCCCTGCTGCAGCATGGAAAGGACTCTCCTACCACCCAGGATACTCGCTCGAAGAGTCTGGAGTTGATGGGGACCCGTTTCCTAAACCCTAAACAACCACAACCCCTGAACTCTAAACCCTGAACCCTAAGCCCCAAACGCCGGAACTCAAAGCCCAAACCCCTACACCCTAAACCCTTTAAAACCCTAAACCCGATGCCCTAAGCCCTCAACCCCGAACCTTAAACCCTAACCCCGAGCCCTATAGACCTTGTGCCCTAAAACCCTAACCCTAAACCCTAAGCCCCAAAAGCTTAAGCATTCCTAAAGCCTGAACTTTAGACCCAGGGCCGCGAACCTAGGCCTTCAGCCCTGCAGATTTCAGAGCACGGGTTTAGGGTTTAGGGTTCAGAGTTTAGGGTTTAGGGTTTAGGGTTCAGGGTTTAGGGTTTAGGGGTTCAGGGTTTAGGGTTTAGGGATTATTTAGGGTTTAGGGTTTAGTGCTTCTGGTGAACACGGCGTGAGGGGCAGTTGTAAGTTGGGTCTCGGGTTCAGGCTTGTCTTTTGCTTTTTTTGGCTTTTTGGGGGTGCTTCGAAGGGTGCTGGGGAGGGCTCTGTGCCGAAGTTCTTTCATTTTGTGACTGTGTTTGCCAAAAACCGTAAACCCCTGAAGGCTGTAACGTTGAACCTTAAACCCTAGGCCCTAAAACCCAGCATCCTGAGGCCCGAAAAACCCTTAAAGTCCCAAGCGATAAGCTGCTCAAGCCTCAAAGCCGTGAACGAGGGGTGAAGGTTATAGAACCGTTGACCAACATCTCCATCCTAGAACCCTGGACCAACACCTATATACATCCTTGATCGAACACCCAGAACCCTTACAAGACCTCAATAAGCACCCGAAAGGGGAGGCTAAGCCCTAAGACCCACTAGCCCTAAACTTGTTATTGAATCACAAAATTCCCAACCTTAAGCTCCAAATCCCAACATCCTGACACCTCCGAAGACCAAAAAAAAGGGGCTTAAATGATTACAAATGGTTCCTTATTATAATTTATGCTAGAATGGCACCAAAACCCTATTCTAATTATTAAGGCTGGTGTATGAGACAAATTCTTGAAAGGAGAGGGTGAAGGCCTGGACGGACTGCATTTTAGACCGCCTCGTGGGCATCACCGCCACCGGTGGAAGAGCTGTTGCCATCGAGGTGGCGGAGGAGAGCTGCGGGGGGGGGGGGGGATTTTTCGGGGTTCCTTTCAGGCTTCCATAAAGGTTTGTCTTTGTGGGTTCTATGAGGGTTGAAGGTTTAGGATTTAGGCTTTAACTTGTGGGTTCTATGAAAGTTGAAGGTCTAGGGTTTAGGGTTTAATATGTGCGTTCTATGAGAGTTGAAGGTTTAGGGTTTAAGTTGAAGGTTTAGGGTTTAGGGTTTAACTTGTGGGTGTTTATGAGAGTTTGAAGGTTTAGGGTTCAGTTTGTGGGTTCTCTGAGAGTTGAAGGTGTAGGGTTTGGGGTTTAAAGGGGCGCAAGGTTTACCGGGTGTCGTGGCTTTAGGGGGTTCGGGTCGGACGGTTCAAGTTTAAGGGTTGGGGGTAATGCTAGAGTTAATTGATGGCTGACTTGGGGTTTCGGACTTATGTAGTAAAGTGCAACGACTGAGGGCTTGGGTTAGGAATGTACCGTACCACCTCCAACCACTCTTATGCTGTTTTTTGGCCCTCTGCCGGAAGGTTTGGGCGGGGTCTAAACTAGGATTAAGGCTCTAGAGCTTAAGGTTTAGGGTTCAGGGTGCAGGCCACAACCCAAACCCTCCTAAACCCGCTCACCTTGCAGCCGCGCTAAACCCTAAACCCTAAATCCGTTTCACTGGAACGCTGACAGATAGAATTCAAGAGGTCCGAAGGTGAAGGTGTATGTAATGACTAGGTGCAGGGTAAAGTTGAGTCCTCCAATGGGGGCGGGGGTTCGCCCCAACTCTGCTTGTAAGTGTAACCTACTTCATCTTAAGCAAGGCGTAAAGCTTCAGTGATATTAGGTGTAGAAGGCACCAAATGACAGTAGAGATCCTTGTAATCTAGCACCTCCCCTTCTTAGGGTCCAGGTGAACCCTACTTGGAGAGTCGGGGGACTTAGTAAGTAGGTAATAAGTAGACTTATAAGTACCCTAAAAGGGACCCTAATTGGGGTTATGGTACTTATAACTCTCTAAAATAGCTACTTAGTAAGTCCCCCGACCCTCCAAGCAACCCCCAAACCCTAAACCCCTATAGATCCCTTTAAGGAGCCCTTTAAGGAACACCTTAAGGATCCCTTTAAGGAACTACTTAGTAAGTCCCCCGACCCTCCAAGTAAAACCTATGAGTGTGAAGTTTCGGGCTTTCCGGCTTAGGGTTTGGGCTGCAGGCCTTGGCCCGAACCTCTGAGACCCGAAAAGCCCTGAGCCAGGAACCCGGCACCCTTTAGGGTTCAGGGTTCGGGGTTTAGGCTTTAGGGTTTAGGGTTTAGGGTTTAGGGTTTAGGGTTTTGAATACCGCCAAATCCTACAAGCGTAAAACTATTCAACCCACCTAGTGAACTCCAGTCACTCTTAAAGGCTTAGCTTTGGGAAGGTCCAGCCACAAGACCGTATTTAAGGTTAGCGTGTAAGGTTCAGGTTTAAGCGTTTGGGGCCCCGTAAACCGCAAACCCCAAACTCTGGTTTAAGGGTTTAAAGGTTTGGGGTAAAGGTTTGGGTTTAGGTTCCCCAAACCCTATACCCTAAAACCCCAAGTCCTAAGCACCAAACCCGAAACCCCTAAACCGGGGTTTCAGGTTTACTATAGGGGCCTTAATAATTACGTATACTATTTTGGGGGCTCCTTATCATAACTCTAGTATAAGGGGCCCCAAAACCCTGTTCCAATTGTTAAAACCCCCATATGGGTGTTTCCGAAAATAGGGAACCCAAATATGGTACCCTAAAGTGTAGGATCCTTATAACAAGGACCCCAAAATAAAAGGTACCCCCCCCAATTTTCGGAAACTCTCATCTTAAGGCTTGGGGCTAAGACTCCACTTGGAGGGTCGGGGGACTTAGTAACTGGTTCTTTTAGGGACTTATACGTACCATAACCCCAATTAGTCTCCCTTTTAGGGTGCTTATAAGTCAACTTACTACCCACTTACTAAGTCCCATACCGACCCTCCCTTGTAGATCCCCTTATAATCCCCCTATAGATCCCTTTAAGGAGCCCTTTAAGGATCCCTTTAAGGATCCTTACTAAGTCCCGCGACCCTCCAAGCAGGAGTGCCTCTCCGTGCCTTTCCAGCGGCTGAAGCTCGGATCGCAAGTTCGGCGTCGAAGCCCTAGACACTGCTTGGAGGGCCGGGGGACTTACGGTTGATGATATAAATCCCTAGGGTTCCTTTAGAGGGATCAATAGGGGTGCTATAAGGGATCTATAGAGCTTAGGGTTTAGGGTTATGAAATATAGAAATTCATGACCTTAAACTATGGGACTTATGGTATATTCCTCTTGATGGGTAATGCAGGATTTCTATCATCAACCGTCGGGCTCCTTACAGGGATCCTTCAGGCGATTATAAGGGGATCTACGAGGGAGGCTCGGGGGACTTAGTAAGTAATTAGGTAAAAAGTAGAGTTATAAGTGCCGAAAAAGGATATCTCTTTGAAATAGCTACTTAGTAAGTCCCCCGACCCTCCAAGGAAAGACTGGGGTTCCTTTGACTCACTTACTTGGCCAATGGCCGAACTTTGAACGTTTTGGTCTTACATGTTTGGTCTGTCTCGGAAAGTCTACAAAAAAGATTTGTGCCCGGATATGGAAGAAGAGAGAGTCAAACGGTTCTTGTACAGGGATCAATAAGAGTTTCTACAGAGTTACGATTTAGGGTTTAGGGTTTAGGGTTTCTATAAGGGTTACTACCATTGGGGTATAAGATAGCAGCCGTAGCGATGAAAGGCTTTATACCGGTTGTTGGGTAACGGATCGCTGTCGTTCCTATTTAAACACAAAGCCAAGAGATCGTCATGGCTTTGAGAGGGAGCTTCTAGTATAGGGCCGGTTTGTTTATGGGTGTTATGCACGTGCTGGGTGTTGTAGGGTTCAAGGGTTTAGAGTGTATGTTTGCTGCATGGGCAACGTGAGCGGCGCTGGCATCCTAGACCCTTCCCCTTACCTTTGGTTAGTAGGGAATGAAGGAATGGGTACTATTATACTTACTATTACTATCATTCTTCCGTTCCCTACTAACCAAAGGTAAGTCCCGAGGCCCCCCTAGCCCGAACCCTTAACACGAAGCGCCCAAAACCCTAAGCCCGGAACCGTAACCCCTGGTTCCTCAAAACTCTGTTTATACTGAAGCATTGCGTTACGGCCAACCTAAACCCTGAACTAAACTCTATAGATCCCTTTAAGGAACCCTATACCCTGGACTTTTGGAATGTTTGAAAGCAATCTTAGAATCCCTACTTCAACTTCAGGTATATTTTTCAGTTTGAGGAACCTATCAAGTCTCTAAAGGCCCCGCAAGTATGAAGCCCTACACAACAACTCAGAATTCTTTGATTCAGGGCGTTTGGGTACAGACACTATGTCAAACCCTAAACCGTAAGCTCTAAACCCTGAACCCTAAACCCTTCGTGGCCTGGAATTCGGACGCAAGTGCAGACGGAAAGGGGCCCAGAAACCCTAAACCCTAAACCCCAATCCCTAAACCGTAAAGGCCCTTAAAAGAAACCTTCGTGGCCCAGGATCCCGCTGATGAGCGAGGACATGCGCGAGCGCCTGGCAGATTGCCTGGGTGAGCATGCGCTCCTCCACATGGACGAGGCCACGAATTCATAGGGTTTAAAGTTGAGGGTTTAGGGTTTAGGGTTTAGAGGTTTAGGGTTCAGGGGTTTACGGGTTTAGGGTTACGGTTAGGGGTCTAGGGTTTGAGGTTTAGGGGTTGCAGCTACATTCAGCCACCCTGAGCCCTCAACCCGCAAGAGTTCCCGGAATGGGTTTAGGGAATTCGGGGCTTCGGGTTTGAGGGTTTAGGGGTTGGGGGTTTAGGGTCCAGAGGTTGGGGGTTTTACGGTCTGAGGGTTGGGGGTTCAGGGTTTAGGGTTTCGGGTTTTAGGGACCTGCTTTTCGCAGTTCGGGGTCTTTTGAGGATGAGGCATTGTTGTCGGAGGTTCGAATGCTTAGGACGATGATGATGGTGATGATGAGGATGATCAGGACGACGGTGGTGATGTCGCGGCTTGTGGCTGTGGTGATGATGGTGATGTGGCTGGTAATCAGTCCAATATGCTTCGGAATCCTGGTTTGTGTCTTCTGCACTCTCAGAGCATACATGAGCACGTTATCTCCACAAACACGTGTCAAGCTACGAAGCCCTGAATTACGTCTCCCCACCCCCCAGACCCTCGCACAACTTGAACGACTTCGTAAGTGCTAACACACCTGAACGCCTAGCAAACCCCGAACTTTACCATCTTCCCTAAAGCCCTCAGAACCCAAGCCCTAAACCCCAAACCCACAACCAGATGAGTTACAGGCTGGGTAGGTGCCCTGTATCCGTTTTGGGCTCTGTACGCCTGCCAAGCTGGCCTTGTTTTTGGTCACGAAACCATCCGCATCCGAGGCCCAGCAGAAGAACTTGCTGGAGGGCCTGGGCGCGGAAGCGAAGTGCCCCGTGTGTCTCAGCTTGCAGACGGAGCTGTGGGGTTTGAGGGTTGAGGGCTTAGGGCTTTTGGCCAAGAATTAGGTGTAGGCCCGTGTAGGCTGTTGGGCCCTCAACCCTGAACCCTAAGCCTCAAACCACAAAAGCATCCTAAACCCCACAGTCCTACAACTTAACACCTAAACTCTAAACCTTGAACCTTACACCCCCAAAGCTCAACCCACTTGAACCTTCATGCATCTATAGTGGCCTTGGTACATAGAATAGGGATCCTGTAAAAGAGATCCCTAAAGGGTTCTATAAGGGATCTACAATAGGGTTCTAAGTTGGGGGCCTTAAGCCCTAAACCCTAAACCCTGAACCCTATACCCCAAACCTTAAACCCTAAACCCAGAACCCTTAACCCCAAACCCTAAACCCTGAATCAAACCCCAAACCCTAAACCCTAAACCCTAATTCAAAACCCGAAATCCTAGAGCAAATCCCAAACCCTAAACCCTAAACCGGGACAAGGCGTCTGGCCCGAAGTCTGAGCCCGAACCATGAAACCTCCAAGCGCCCCGGTGCAGTAGGCCTTTGGGTCGAGGGCTTCAGGTTTAGGTGTTTAGGGTTTGGGGTTCAGATTATGTAGGGTTTAGGGTTTAGGGTCAGGGGTTTTAGGTTTAGGGTTTAGCTTCAGGATTTTAGGATTTGTAGGGTTCAGGCTTCAGGATTTTCCAGGGTTTAGGATTTAGTTTAGGGTTTAGGAGTGTAGGGTTTAAGATCTAGGATTTAGAAGGTTTAGTCTTTGGGATTTATGGGGTTTAAGGCCCCACTGTTTATAGAGTTTAGGCTTTGGGATGAATACGGTTGATGGTATAAATCCTGCATGACCCTAAGGACTCTAAACTATGGGAACTACGGTATATTCCTTCTAAGGGTAATGCAGGATTTATATCATCAACCGTAGGGCTTAGGATTTCAGATTCAAAGGGTTTCGGCTTCGGGGTTAAAAGGGCTGAGGATCTAGGCTTCATGCGGGGCCTAGACTTTAGGATTCATAGCGTTTATAGAGTTTTAGGCTTCGGGGGTTAAGCGGTTTAGGATTTGGGGTTAAGCGGTTTAGGATTTAGGATTCAGGATTTATGGGTTTGGAGGTTTAGGATGTAGGATTGAAGGTGTAGGGTTGAGGATTTAGGATTCAGATGATGCGTGCAGACATCCACAAAGCATTCAACGCGTGTCCGCACGTGGGCATGGATCAAAGGCTTTTTCATCCACGATGTACAGGCCACCAGAGCACTGAGCTGCGAAGAGAGGATGCCGGCAGCGCAAGCTTTCCATCGCTGGACACCGGAAGGATCATGGAAGAAAGCACTGCGACCAACCATTGACCATGAAGTTTTGTGCGACGAGCTACATGCACACGATCCTTTCCTGTGCAAGCTAATGCTGCACGACATTTGGTTGTCGCACGGCTATGAGAAGCGTAGTGGAATGATTTGCGAACTTCTTACGTGTAGCATCACACTCAAGGCTGGAATAACATCAGGTGTTGTTACTTGTGGGGGGTTACATGCAGTCGACAACATAATGTATCAACATCAGCAGAACCCAAGCTCCCTTTCTAGGGTCCTTATGTGGCGTACTATTTTGGGGGCCCAAAACGGGACCCTAATTTGGAGAACTGCCCATATCCTAAGCCCTCGTCGTCGTCACATTCTCAGCTCGGATTTCATGGTTTGGAGATTTTTGGGGCCTGGTCCAGGGTTGGTTTGGGTTTTTGTTGTAGAGAGTGTAGGGTTGAGGTTTCAAGGTTTAGGGTTAAGGGTTTAGTGTTTAAGGGTTTAGGTTTAAGGGTTGAGGTTTCAGAGTTTAGGGTTGAGGATTGAGGTTTCAGGAATTAGAGTTCAGGGTTGAGTGTTTAGGGTCTAGGAGGCCGTTTTCGCCGCTTTAGACTCTATACCCTGACGCCAGCCTCCGGAAAGGCTCATAGAGCGGATCGAGGCGCTGATGGCGACTTGCACCAAGGAGAGGGGGAACTTAAAACCCCGAACCCTAAACCCCACGGACTTCTGATGGCCTTGGGGGGAGGAAAAGAGTTCTGCAGAGAACGCAACCTTAAGGACTGAACTCTAGGATGCCCAGTAGTACCCTTATTCCCTTTTTGTAGTCCTAGGTTCCTTATAAAGTTACCCAATACCAAAAAGAAAGGCCTTTCTATTCTTAGGTTACTGGGTATCCTAGAACTTCAAGCATCCTAAACCCAAACCCTGGGGAAGACCGCGACGACGACGACTACCGCGACCCCGTGTCCTTCTCTCGTCCTCCTCCGCCTCCTTCTCAGCCTCGTCATCCTCGCCCAACTCCACACCACAAGCCCACAGCTTCCCTTATGCCAAAACCTAAACCCTAGACCCTAAACCTAAACCCTAAACCCTAAACCCTAATCCTAAATCCTAAAAGCACCACACCCGAAGGAGCTCAATACCTGGCTTGCTCAAGCACCCCGCTGCTTGTTTGCACGAAGCGGGGCCGCAGCCTCTGCTGTTTGTTGGGTTTAGGGTTTAGGGGTTTGTTGGGGGTTTTGGGTTAGCGATTTAGCCCAAGTGCATAATGTAGCGGCCTCAATAATTAGAATCGGGCTTGGGGGTATAACAAGGAAACCCAAAAAGCCTATTCTGATAATTAAGGCCCCTACATTATAGAACCTTACTGTAGATCCCATATAGACCCCTTTAAGGAACCCTTTAAAGGAACCCTATTGAGGCTTAATAAACCCGGATTACAGTCGTAAGTGTGGCCAACATGCTCGCCCGCCAGCTTGAATTTGAATGTTTTTCAGTAACTTCAAACCAAAGTATATACCATAAAGGATCCCTTAAAGGAGCCCTTTTGGATCCCTTAAAGGAGCCTTTATAGGAGCCCTTAATAGTTTAAAATAGAAAAATACCATATAGGCACATGGACCCCTCAACCCCCAACCCTGCGCCCCAGCCGACTCCCATCTGAAGACAAGTTACGTCGCGTTGCAGCCTCATACAGTGAGCTTAGGGGTTTAGGGTTTAGGGGTTTAGGGTTTAGGGTTTAGGGTTCATACATTGAGCCCCAAAAAGTCTCATACAAGGGGGCCTTAATAATTAGAATAGGGTTTTGGGGCCCATTATACTCCAATTATATTCAGGAACCATACTTGGAGGTTCATGGGTATAAGTAGGCTTATAAGTAGGGTAACTATACTTGTAACCCACATTAGGGGACTTACAAGCCCACTTACAACTACCCATGAGCCTCATGCAGTGAACCCCCCAAAAGTTAGCTCCTTCCAAGAAGGGCCTTGGGTTCAGGGTCTTCCAGGGGAGGTAGGATTTGGGGCTTTAGGGGTCTAGGGTTTAGGGTTTAGGGTTTAGGGTTTAGGGTCTTTTAAGGTCTAGAGAGTGAACCCCGCGGAAAGTTGGAACATGGATTTAGGATGATTAGTGCTAGGATTCCCCATACTTTACCTTGAGGGCATGATGACAATGATGTTCCAACTTTTGGCTTCTACTGTAGGTGCTGCTGTCGTAATCTTGAGTTTAGGATTTTGGGGCTTAGGGGTTTAGGGTTGAGGGTTTTGGTTCTGTCAGGTTTAAAGGTTTAGGGGTTTTAGAAATTGTAGTAAGATCCCCTCATCGGCCCTACATATGTCTGCGGTAGGATACCCCCTAGCCGAGTTGGAAAATAAAAGCCCGGACATTCAAACCTTTTTTTCTGCCAGTAGATCCCCTCATAAGAATCCGGGCTTGGGGTTTAGGGTTTACGGCTTTCCAGCATCCCGTCTCTTTGCAGCACTTGCGTTGTACCCGTCAACCTACTGGCTGTAACTAGGATGCCCAGTAGTACCCTTATTCCCTTTTTTGTAGTCCCAGCTTCCTTATAAAGCTACCCAATACCAAAAAGAGAGGCCTTTTTATTCTTAGGTTACTGGGTATCCTAGGTAACTCATAAATGGCACTCACACACCAGGCTTTCCGTTCACGCCGCTGGCGCTGGCGGATGCTCTGGCGCGGGCTGAGCACCCACTGCTGCAGCCTGGCCGAATCTGGGAGTTTCCGAAAATAGGGGACCCTAATACAGTACCCTAAATAGTAGGATCCTTATTATAAGGACCCCCAAATAAGGTACCCCTAAATTTCGGAAACTCCCATCTGGTGTGTGTCGGGTTCGGGGTTTGGACTTAAGACTAAGTAAGCCCGGGCCCTCAACCCTAGACCCGAGAGTGTAAACCTCAAACCCTAAGCCCCAAACCCTAAACCCTGAACCCCAAACCCTGAACCCTGAACCCCTAAGGCCTAAACCCTGAACCCCCTAAACTCGAAACCTAGATTTCTAGTGAACCCCAGAAAGTTGGAACATGAGTTTAGGATGATTAGTGCTAGGATTCCTTCTACCTTGCCTCAAGGGAATGAGGATAATGATGTTCCAACTTTCTGGCTTCTACTGAAGGGGAGCCGGGCCCTGCAACCTCAGCAGTCGAGCCTGAACCCCAATCCCTGCATGGCAGCCAAGGCTTGCTTCACTGTTGGGGAAATAGGGTTTAGGGTTTAGGGTTTAGGGGTTTAGGGTTTGGGGGTTTAGGGCATTTTTCTTACAATATAACTCCAGGGGAGTACTAAGAATATGGTTTCTATTTTGATTCTAAGGGCGGCTAAGGTTGTAGGACCCCGAACCAGTATGGAAACCCTTGAAACAGACCTTTTAAGGGTTTAGGGTTGAGGGTTTAAGGATTTGCTCAGCTTTCATTAGCATTTTAAGCAAAGGGTTCTGAGCGCTTAGAAGCTCAGACGATTCAGAACTCCGAATGCATGGACCCTAAGCCAAGCCCGATCTTAACCCAGCGGTGTTTAGGGTTTAGGGTTATCATGATTTCCTGATATAGTTAAAAAAGTTTAGGGTTTTGGGGGTTCAGGAAAGTATAGCCCCAAGAGAAGCCCTAGCTCGAAGCCAAAACCCCTAGCCACTAAACTCTTCAGCCCTGCATGCACCCTAAGCCCTCAATCTAAGGCCTTCAACAATAACTCATACATGGGTGGTTGTCAAAATTATGGCCCATTTTGGGGTACCCTAAATACTAGGTGCCGTATTATAACAAGGACCCAAAAAGGGACCACCATTTTGACAACCACCCACATAAATGAAGGAATCCTGTTTGTTAGGGTTTGGTGGCTGGAACCTCCAGACACAGGCATGTACGCTCCGCCCGTCAGCGTCATGCCCCCAGTGACTGCGGGGTGGACACCTCGGGATTGCCCTCCCGGTTTGACACTGAGCCACCCTGGCAGCTTAAGCGACTGCCCGCTGTGCAATCATCGCAAGGCGAGTTGGGAGGCCGGACAAATGGGGTCGGGCAAGATCCTGGCTTGGTTCCGCTGCGTGCGGTACCCGGCATGCCCATTCGCATGGACGCCCGAAAGAGGTACCCTTCCAGACGACGCCGGCACTCCTGTGCGACCTATCCAAAGGCAACCGAGGCTAAGCGGCTTGACCGGCAGACAGCGATGCCTTCTTCTTTCTGTCGGAGCCGGCTCCTTTTCACGGCCCAAACACAACGCTGCACAGAAGCAGTTGTCAAGGACAGCAAGAAGTTTGAAAAGACTTTCCCAACCTTTGGCATATAAGATTGTTCTACACACTCTATAGAAGGCTCCTGAAGAAGTGGTGATTATGTTTCCACTGGAAACAGACCGTAAGCCCTACAAATACTATCCCCCCCCCACAGTGCATCCCAAAACCCCGTGCACCTACACTAAAGCCCATAAGCCCGACAACACCCTACAAAGTCCCTACCTCCTAAACCTTAAACCCTAACCCTTGCCCTATAACCCCAAATAATATACCTTTTTTAGGACGTATATCAAAAACAGAATAGGGAACCCTAAATAAAGTACGTTATTGGGGTCCAGGCAACTCCCAAACGAGCGACCCGACACGTGACCAGGCGTTTCTTCACCTTCGCACGCCAGCCGAGCCAGAAGGAGGCAGATGTAAGACAGTTCCGTTTAATGTCGAGGCCTAAACCATGACCTAACTATTTTGGGGGTTCTTTAGTATAATTATAGTATAAATACCCCCCAAAACCCTATTCTAACTGTTAAGGCCCCCATGCTAGGGTTTCGGGTTCAACATAGCAGACTACATTATTATGAACATTCTTCCTTAGGCTTGCTTTGTAGATCTTAAAATTACCTTTGATTCCAATTAAAGTTCTTGCAACCCCACCTACAAGTTCCCCCGACCGTAGATCCGTAGATCCCTCATGAAACCAGCATAAAACCCCTTGTGAGCTTTGCAAGTAGCCGTTAGGACAACGTTGCAGAACCCGTAAACCCTAAACCCTAACTCAGTTGCCTCGTAGGCCTTCCTGATGGCGGTGGCGCTGTGTTTGCAGAGCTTGCGGACGCGTCTCAGGTGGCTCGGCCGTCTGTTGAAGGGACGGTAGCGGTTCCTTGATGAAGGGACGGTAGCGGTTCCTTGAAGGGTTCCTTTTAGGGCTGCATAGGTCTTCCTTTAAGCGCTCATTCAAGCCTTCCTTTAAAGAGTTGAAAAAGAGTGGCCGGAAGGATATTGATAGTGTTTAGGGTCCTTAGGGACGTTTAGCATCCACATACTGTTCTTATATTCTGGCTTCTGCAGGGGCTTGAATCAGGGTTCCATATTGTAAGGGGCTTAAGTAATTACTAAAACTATTTTGGGGCTTCCTTATAATTATCGTATAGTGGGCCCCAAAACCTTATTCTAATTATTATGGCCGCTATATGATGTGATTTTGTAGGGTCGCTATGGGTCAGCAATGAGGTCGCCACGCGACACACCTTCAGGTTGAATTCTCGACGCTTGCTCACCCTACACTTCAAGTCCCATCCTGAATGCCGAGCTTTTATAATGTACCCCAGACGCTCCAAGTACCCAAATAGTAGGGATTTAGGTACCCAAAATCCATACTCTGAATGGTTTTTGGACCTTGAAACCCTACTATTTGGGTACTTGGACCCTTAGGGTACCATACAAGACACTATCACTGTACCACTGTATAATTCTACACAATACTCTAGTTTTAAGTTTAATCCAGTCCACCTAGTCTAGTCCAACCTAACGGATGTCCTATGAATTTCCTACGTTTTCAGTGTTTACGTCCGCACCCCTAAACCCGAAAGCCTAAACATGACACCACCTAAACTCTAAACTTGGTGGGACTTCTTCTGCAGAAGAGGCCCCAACACACTTAGAAAAAAATTCTAAACTCTAACCCCAAAGCCTAAAGCCGAAACCCACCCGCGAGGTGGATGGGGTCAGCAGAGCCCGTGTTAGAAAGACTCAGCTGGAACCTCAGTGGCTTTAAACGGGCGCCTTGAAGGCGTTCCTGTAAGCGTTCCTTTGAGGGTTCCTTTATGGGTTCGTGTAATGGTTCCTTTAAGTCATGATTTTTTTGGGGTTCGTTTAAAGGTTCCTGTAATGATTCTTTAAGGGTGTTTAGGGTTTAGGGTGTGGCCTCCTTTAAGGGTTCCTTTAGGGGTTTAGGGTTTAGGGTTTGTTTAGTAGGAGTTCCTTTCAGGATTCCTTTAGTGGTTCCTGAGTCCTTTATCGGTCTCGGTCTCGGTCTTATGGGGCTCTCGAAAGCTCGGTTTGCTTAATACGTATGATGATACTGATGGTCGTGTTTCACAGAGATTTTGCCTAAAATTTTCCAGGTTCGCACTCCAGTAATACCAGCGACCCCCCCGCCCCCAAACGTTCCAAAAGGAGGGACCCTTAATAAGGACCCCTAGATATATACCCTTAATACAGCTGTTATATACCCATTATATAGCCCAGTATAGGGTAGGGGTCCCCATTAAGGGTCCCTCCTTTTCGCATTAAGCTTAAACTTGTCTTGAGCAAGGACCCTAAGCCCGAGGCCCCCCCCAGCCCTAAACCCTAAACTACACCCTAAACTTTGTCATAGTTGGGCAACATTTTACATTTTTATGGTTACTTAAACCCAATAAGGAATAGAAATTTAAATTTTAATCCTACCCCAACCATGAACTAGTAAAGTCACCTGGTGGAGGTCACGATCTGCAGCAGCGCTTGTTCTTCGTGAAGAACCAGGGCGCCGTCATGGAGTGGGGTGCTGAGACCATAGTCATCCGTATCAAACCTTCACAGCCCTTAAAGAGTTCTAGAAGGCCTTGTTTGATAAAGCCTGATGAAAGCCTGCACAACCTTATAGAACGCCTTTGTTCAACACATCAGACGCTGCAGACAGCCCTTGAAGTCCTATGTCGGGTTCGGGGCGCAAACTTCTCAGACTTGATTGCTTTGCAGCCTGCCCGAATTCCTAAACCCCAAACCTAAACCCCAAACCTTAGAAGCCCAGAACCTAACACCAAACCTTAGAAGCCCAGAACCTAAACCCCAAACCTTAGAAGCCCAGAACCTAAGCCCCAAACCTTAGAAGCCCGGAACCTAAACCCCAAACCTTGGAAGCCCGGAACCTAAACCCCAGGAATAGACTCAGGAAGGGCTTTAGGGGTTTAGGTTTTAGGGTATACCCTAAGGGTCCCTATTGACTTAGTAGCTGTTAGTAGCTGAGTGGATACACTGTACACTTTTCGGGATGATATTACCTACTATAAAACTGAAAGTGTACACTTTTTGGGACTTATGAACTCAGCAAATAAGTCAAACCCTAAAGCATCAAACGCCGCGAAAGGCTAAACTCCAAAGCCTTAAAGCCCAAGACCCTAAACCTGAAGAGTCTCGAAGGTGTGCTTCCGAGAGCCGGAATGTATTCCCAGAGAGCCCAATATTTCTTGGTTTAGGCATAGCAGTAGAGCCCCTGCATGTTGAGGTATATTCCAATTTGAGGGGCTTATAGACCCCATAAACGCTGTATAAACCGCTATTCAAAAGGATCCATGACAAACGACGACAACCCTGTTATGTTTTTTTGTCCCGTAATTCGGGGCTTATAAGTCCTTTAGTACCGCAGCTGGGATTCACCGCTTTTCAAGCCCATAAGCGCCGTATAACAACGCTGTGAAGAAGAACTCACAAGCACACGTTTTCATTTTTAGCTTAAGGGCCATAGCCACCATATAAAGCCAAATGAAAAGTTACAACCCCTACATAAAGGATCATGGGACAGAGTAAGTAAGGACGTACATACCTTGTTTTGTTATATCTAGCGATAAAGTTTAGTTCCCCATAAATCAATAACCCTAGTTACCAAGCCCCACGACCTCGTAAGGGGTCTCAGAGAGTTATTTTTTTCAGGATCTGGCTTGCCTCGCGCCTGAAGAAGTACAACGAGGAGGCGAGGTTTAGGGTATCGGGGTGCGGGGGGCTTCACGCCCCATTGGGGTTTAGAGTTTAGGGTATCGGGGTTTAGGGCTTCGGGATTTGGGATTTTAGGGTTCAGGGTTTACGGTTTAGAGTGGTGTAGAAGCTGTACTTCGGGGTTGATAGTTTCGCTCTAGGTTGAGGTATATTCCGGAACCCTATATCCTAAATCTACAGGGTATGAACTATTCGAACCCACTTTCTCGCATGGATATTGCCTTGAACGTCTACACCTAGACGTTGTTTTGGGCTCTTATGTTGAGGTGGTGAGATTTAGGTTTGAGTTTGCATTGGGCCCACGACAGAACCCATCCCCCTTGAACCGCTACACCGTCCCTAAAGCCTAAACGTTTGCACTTAAACAACAACCCTAGACTCTAAACCCCAAGCCCAAAACGCCTAAACCCTGAACCTCAAACCCGCAAACCCCAAACCCTAAACCCTAAACCTGAGACCTCACCCGCTAAACCCAAAGCCCTACACCCAACCCTAAACCCAAAGCCCTAAACCGATAGCCCGAAACCCTAAACGCAGTACCCTTCTAACCCTAAACCCAGTTCTCTTCGCCTCACAACCCCAAACCCTAAACTCTAAACCCAAAGCCTTAAACCAATGACCCAAAGCCCTACAAACCCAGTACTTGGAGGGTCGGGGGACGTAGTAAGTAGGTAATAAGTAGAGTTATACGTACCCTAAAAGGGACCCTAATTGGGGTTATGGTACTTATAACTCTCGAAAATAACTACTTAGCATGTCCCCTGACCCTCCAAGTACCCCCTAAACCCGAAGCCCTTATAGATCCCTGTAAGGAGCCCCTTAAAGAACCCCTTAAGGATCTAAATAAAAATAACTACTCAGTAAGTCCCCCGACCCTCCAAGTATAGACCCCTTTATGACGCCTCGCACACATGTGAGGCCGCCGGCCGCGTGGCCTCGATCCTCGCCCAGCCCGGAGTGCCGAAACTTCTTCCTCTGAAGGACCCGGGGGGTTTTGGGGTTCAGAAGGGATCTATAAGGGATGTATAAGGGATCTATAAGGGATCTAGAAGGGATGTATAAGGGATGTATAAGGGATCTATAAGGGATTTCAGGGTTTTGGGGTTCAGCGTTCTCGGGCTTTAGGATTTTGGAGTTCAGGGTTCTAGGGTTACAGGGTTCTGGGGTTCAGGGTTCTCGGGCTTTAGGATTGTTTGTTGTTTGTTTTTTTTTTTGGGGGGGGGAGGGGGGGGGGTTTAGGGTTTTAAGGTTTTGGGGTTGCAGCTTTAGGGTTTTGGGTTTTGGGATTCAGGATTCTCCGGCTTTGGGGGTTTAGTATTTTGTTTTTTGGTTTTGGGTTTTTGGTTAGGGCTGTAGATGGGTTTGAGGGTTTTAGGAGTTTAGGGTTTTGGGTTTAGGGGTTTTGGGTTTTCGGGTGTTGGGTTTAGGGCTTTAGGGGTTTTAGGGTTTAGGTTTAGGGGTTTGGGTTTGGGGGGGCTTCAGGGCCTTTGATGGCTGTAGGGTTTGAGGAGTTTGAGGGCTTTAAGAGCTTCACAGGGTTAAGGCTTGAGATTTCGGGATGTGCCCTAAGGGTCCGGAGGTGGATGCAATGCAGGGTGGACTCCGGGTGGACTATTGGTTGCGGATGTGCTACACGGTCGAACGCCAGAAGCTGTAGTGTGGGGCTCGCCGCATGGCAACACATTAGTCCCGCGGACTGGCGGCTCTCTACTACGTGCTCGAAGCAATGCCGCCTACAAGGTCGAGGCCTTCCACTGGCTGTGCGAGGCCTTCCCAAACAGCGAAATTTTCTGCCCCATCCCGGCGTACTACACCGAAATTGTGGGTACTGTGCCACTACAGCCGATACAATCTGCCGACGGCCTTGTTGTATACGAGCCCATGGCGAGCCATTCCTACCACCTGCAACGTCTGGAGACGGCCGCTAACTTGATGATCATGACGACACTGGTTGATGAGTGTCTCCTTAGGAGTGGCCGGAATCTCCTAGGGAGAGTGCCTGGGTCTCTTTGGGATCTCAGAAACCCTCAATTTTGAGGTTCCCTGAAGTGTTAGGACCCTTAGGGTGGGGTTTAGGGCTTTAGCGTTTGTCGGTTTCGGTTTCTACTTCCCGGTTTCAATCTTTTTGTATTGTGGTACTGTAGCTTACATATGGGGATATCCGAAAATCGGGGACCCTCATCCAAGACCCTGTATTGTAGCATCCGTATGAAAAGGACCCCAAATACCCAGAGGCCCCAAAGTAGTTCCTTTTTGGGATTACCTTTTAGGATTCTATATATGAACCCCAAAAAGGAACTACTTTGGGGCCTCTGGGTAAGGTGACCCCAGAATAAGGTACCCGTATTCTCTACACACTTACCCTAAGGCTCCATGTACTATATACTTAGGCCTTAAAGGTACCTAATTATATAGGAACCCCCTTACGGCTTAAGTCTCTGAACACCACGCCCTAAATCCAAAAGCCCTAAAGTTTGACAGCCCTAACGTGCTAAACCGTAAAGCCCGACAGTGCTAAACTCTGCTTGTAGTATCCTTAAGGGAGGGGGGTCCAAGGGGGGTATATAGCCTACTCCCTAAGGTTCCCTTACAGTCCCCTAAGGATTCCTTATACCCTCCCCCCTTGAACCACCCTCCCTTAAGGATCCTATAAAGTCTGCAAAAGCCCCAAGAACATGAAGCCGCAGACCCTCAAGACGTGTACTGAGGGCCTTCCACGAAAGGTTTGGGTTTAGGGTTTAGGGTTTAGGGTTTAGGATTAGCGCCGCTTTGCCATGGTATGTTGGGTATGAAAACAAGGCGAGGGCCTGAGCCAATGGGATTTTGAGCGTCTGTTGCTTGAATTTTAAGCCCATGGGGGTTATAGGAGTTCTTTCATACGGTTTGGTGGGTCTGTGGGTCTTTCACTTTAAGCCTTAAACATGAAACCCTAGACCCTAGACCCTAAACCCTTCATGTAAGCCATAAGCCCACTCAAAGGATCATGGGACTTAGTAGCTAGGGTCATAAGTGAGGTACCTATCGTTATACTTACTTATAATCCTAATTCAGGTGCTTATATCCTTACTTACTAAGTCCCATGATCCTCCTAAACCCTAAACCCTAGACCCTAAACCCTAAACCCCTAAACCCTAAACCCCTAAACCCAAAACCCCTAAACCCTAAACCTTACATTTAAGCCATAAGCCCACCGCCTCGGCGAGACAAAGCTGCTTCCTCTGCTGCCGCCGCTCCCACAGTCAGATGATCAGCCAGGCCGCGGGGCTTTCCGAAAAACAGGGGTGCTTAATTTAGGGACCCCCAAAAGCACATAAGCATAAGGATTTTAGAGGGATATCCCTACCTTATTGGGCATCATTATAAGGGGGTTTATATGGGATATCCCTATCCTAAGTTTTGCTTATGTGCTTTTTTGGGGCCCTATAATTGGGGGTCCTTATCATAAGCATCCTACTATTCGGCGTACTGTATTAAGGTTAGGGTCCCCTCTTTTCGGAAACTCCAACATGGGTAGTTCTCTAAATCACAGGAGGCCAAAAAGAGTTTTAGGCTATGGGGGTTTAGTAGGGATTAGGGTTCCCATAATAGGGTTCATATCAAGGAATCCCTAACCCAAGAATCTTAAACCCCCCTTTTGGCCTCCCATCATCTAAAGTAGGCGGTCCCTTTGTAGGGTTCCTTAAAGGGTTCTACAAGGGTTCCTATAAGGGTTTCTGTAAGGGTACTAGAGGGGTAGTTCTCTAAATTGTCCCTTTTAGAGTCCTTTTATATAAGTAGGATCCCGTACTAGTTTGGGGGCCTGGAAAGGAACTCTGTTTTAAAGGACTATATTGTTGCATTTTTCTTGGAGCGGTCTTCCTCAGACTAGGGTTGTGCGGCTGTAGAATAGCAGAGATATATAAGGAGATTCAAGGTGGGGTTAGGGTTTAGGGTTTAGGGTTTAGGGTTACTGTGACGACTTGTTCAGGCCTGTGTAATCAATATGACGACGACGCCAACGACGACGACTACTGCTGCGAGTGCTGTTGCTGCCACTGCTCAGCAGTAGGGCTCGAAGGACATTTTTCATCAACTCAGATGGTTTTAGTTGAAGGTGTTTGCACACACAAAACCAAACCCAAAACCCGAAACTCCAGACACAAAACCCTAGACCCCAAACCTTAAACCAGGCCTCAACCGAAGCCGCATCAACCTGAACCTTGGGTGACTGCTTGCAGCTTGCCCAAACATCCTAAACTGAACTCCACAGAACCCGGACCCGGTTTCCAATGCAGTTTTTTGCCACAGGTGACTGGTTGGAGGCCCAAAACCTAAACCCTAAACCCTAAGACGCTGGACTCCCTGGGCATGAAGGTGCCATGGTTGGTAAGGTGGGACTACTGCCTACTTGGAGGGTCGGGGGACTTAGTAAGTAGGTTGTAAGTGGAGTTATAAGTACCTTAAACGGGACCCTAATTGGGGTTATGGTACTTATAAGTCCCGAAAATAACTACTTACTAATCCCGAAAATAACTACTTACTAAGTCCCCCGACCCTCCAAGTACTGCCTGCTGGAATACCAGTCCCCCATTGGTGTATGGTGAGGGACCAGAGCCGGCAGAACATTCACAACCCAGAGACTCTAATATCCCCTAATTAAGGAATATACCTGGGGTTCCGTTAAGGGATCTATGGGGCTTAGGGGACTCCAAGATCAAACGGAGTAGACGTTAAATCATATAAGGGATCCTACTATAGTTTAAGGAATATTTCTTCATTTAAGGGATATTGGAGTCTCTGGGAACCCGCACCGCCTCCGATACTTCATGCCCCAGGCTGACCTCCTATCTGGGCTCCTTCTGCGGCCCCGCGTCGGAAAAAATTCTGCGCTCCCCTTCCACACCCATGCTGGGGGCGCTCGGTGCTGCTTAGAGAAGGCAGACGACGGCTGGGTGTTTAGGTTTAGGGTTTGGGGGGTTAAGGTTTGGTTTTAGGGTTTAGGGTTAGGTTTTAGGGTTCAGGTTTAAGGTTTGGGTTTAACATGGTGGGCCAAGCCAACGCGCTTTTGCGACTGACACGACGACTGGCAACTTCCGGCAAAGAGCGCGCAGCGCGCGACCGCGCTGCTTTTCCACACAGCAGAAGCGGCCATCAATGAAGCGAACTCAAGAGTCTGTTGTCACATGCGCACGTTGCCACTCATCAGGAAACGTTGGACCCAAAACCTGCACCCTAAACTTTCAACCTTCAACCCCAAACCGGAACCGTATAGGGTTTAGGGTTGAGGGTTTAGGGTTTGTGGATTAGGGTTTAGGTTTTAGGCTTTAGGGCTTCCAGGTGATTGGGTGGAGCTTGATGGACCCTCGCCGCTGGCTGATGCCGTCGCGGAGTGGCTGGGGGAGGCCGATACGGGGTTTCAGTATCGGGGGCTTGGTAGTTAGAACAGAGTTTTGGGGGGTTCGAGGACTTGGATTCTTAGTGCTTCAACTCGTGGAGTTTAGGGTATAGGGTTTCGGATTTGCGGTTTAGGGCGGTTTAGAGTTTCGGCTCGAGAAGTTGGGTTTGCTGTGCTTAGGGTCTGGGGTCGAGGACTGGGCCTTGGGCCTTGGGTGCTGGGAGTTTCCGGAAATTAGGGGTACGGGTACCTTAGGGTTCCTTTAAAGGGTTACTATAAGGGCTCCTTTAAAGGGATCTATAAGGGTTCTATAAAGGGTTTAGGGTTTAGAGTTTCCGGAAATTAGGGAGACATTACTTTGGGGGTCCTCATAATAAGGATCCTGCTATTCAGGGTATTCTATTGGGGTCCCCTATTTTCGGAAACTCCCTGTCGGGTTAGGGGTCGAAGACTTGGTTTCTTACGGCTTGAGACTCTTCAGAAGGGCTTGCATGCGTTTTTTTTTTCGTTTCTACGGGCATCTAATGGGAGTAAACCCAAGCCCTAAACCCTAAATGAACCCTAAACCCCACAGCCTAAACCCTAAACCTCAAACCCTAAGCCTTAAAGCCGGAACTCTGAACCCGAACTCCCTTGGCAATAGTGGGTTCTGACTGTGTAAGTACACCTTAAACCCAACTAACCACCTGCTTCAGAGGTTTACATAAGGTCACCACAATAAGAAATCCCTCAAAGTAGGTTAAATAACCCTCGAATCTGCAGGTAAACCTTGCAAAATACGGCTTTGCGGCATGCTTCAGAATCCAGCGTATCGGCTTCATGCAAAGTCTATCTAATTCCTAGGATGCCTAGTACCCTTGTTCCCTTTTGTAGTCCTAGGTTCCTTATAAAGTTAGCCAATACGTCGGACGACAACGGCATGGACACCTACTGGTGCCCCTGCCCTGGCTGCAAAGGCCAGAAGAAGAGTTTCGGCGAGGATGGCCTCAATGCGCACCTGTGGGCGAAAGATAGACACCCCGGGCCACCCGAGCACGGCGCAGTGGAACGACTGGGATAAGGAAGCGCGCCAAGGGCACTACGTACAGACCCCGCTTCCTCCTACGACTACGGGTCCCGAGGCCCACTGCGGCGACGATCCCACCTGGATCTACCTTCCAGAAGAGCCGGACTACTCCAAGCACGAGCCTGAGAGCTCCGAGGGCGAAGAAAGAGAGAGCGAAAGCTCTTACGAAGAGGTGGCCGTCCAAGAGGAGGAGCCGAACCCTTCCTCTGAAGCTTGGAGCAACCGGGGGCGCGGGGAGCCCTTTCTATTCCTAGGTTACTGGGCATCCTGGTTCCTAAACCCTAAACCCCTAAACCCCTAAACCCCTAAACTCCTTAACCCTAAACCCTAAACCCCTAAACCCTAAACCCTAAACCCCTAAACCCTAAACCCCTAAACCCCTAAACCCTAAACCCTAAACCCCTAAACCCTAAACCCTAAACCCCGAAACCCTAAACCCCTAAACCCCTAAACCCTAAACCCCTAAACCCCTGAACCCCTAAACCCTAAGCCTTTTTTTTTTCGACCCGTTGGCAGGATGCAGCGAACTTCAAGCCTCCTCAGCACACGCTGTCTTTCGACACGTCGGGGACCCTGACGGGCTACATGAAGGCGTTTAGGGTTTAGGGTTTAGGGTTTGGGGTTTGAGGTTTAGGGTTTAGGGTTTAGGGTTTGGGGTTTAGGGTTTGGGGTTTGAGGTTTAGGGTTTGGGGTTTGAGGTTTAGGGTCTAGAGGGTTTGGGTCTGTATAAGTTAAGCGTGTAGGGCCGGGATTTCATAGGCTGTTTCAATTAAAGCTTTAGAAGTTTTGTTGTGGCGGAGCCGCAGCTGAAACGAGCCGTGACGTGCTTTGGACCGATCGTCGCATCGTTCTTAAGGCCTGAGCCCTCAACCCGGAAACCGAAAATTCCAAAGCCATGAACCCCGAACCGATCCTTCTGTGATGTCTTCATGTGCGGCAACACTGCAGGTGCATGTGGGATTTAGGGGTTCTATAAAGGGTAGAATTAAGGGTTTTCGGGTTTACGGATCGGGGTTTTGGGTTCAGAGATCTTAGCTGAACCCTAAACCTTTGAGCTTTCCGTGGCTTGCTAAACCCTAAATCCTACACCCTAAAAGGGGTGTTTCGTGGAGGTTGCGGGTTGAAGGTTTAACATTTAGGGTTTCGAGTGTCGGGTTTAGGGTTTAGAGTTTAGGGTTTCCTGGGAACTTTGAAACCTCAAACCTCTAAACCCTAAATCCTAAACCCTAATCCCTAATCCCTAAACCCCTAAACCCTTGTTCCTAAACCCAAATCCCTAAACCCTAAACCCTACATTGGGACTACAAGCATGGGCGGCGCTCCGAGAGCCTCGATGAACGCGAGAAGGCTTTGATCAGGTCCCACTTGGAGAACAAGGACAGCTCCCAGAGGGTCCAAGTACCCAAATAGTAGGGTTTCAAGGTCCAAAAACCATTCGGAGTATGGATTTTGGGACCTGAAACCCTACTATTTGGGTACTTGGACCCTCTGGGGCTACCGAACGCAACAGTTGTTGCAGTTTCTTCGTAAGGGGTTACCTTAATCTGTGCCGCTGCCGGACGAGAAAAACATCCGCTGCTTCATTGAGAACGAGCGAATGCCTGGAGATCGGGAGAGGACAGTTCTTCTTGAGACGGTGTAGGGTTTAGGGTTTAGGGTTCAGGGTTTAGGGAACCCAAACCCACTTAGATCAACTACGCGTTTTTTTCGACAAGAAGAGAGGTGTTAGCAGAGACTGGGGAGGGTCCTGATGCTTTTGGGAGCCTCAAAACTAGGGCCTCAGATCTCAAAGAGCTTCATTCACGCGCTTCGCGGTTGAGGCTTCAGGCTCTAAGGCTTAGGTTGTAGGCTTCAAGGTGAAGGCCTTAAGTTTTAGGGTTTAGGGTTGTCGGCGCCTTTGAACCTATCTGGGACCTAGAGTAGGCCCTTATTCCCTTTTAAGGGTTCAGGTTCCCTTATCAGCACCTTTAAACCAAAAAGGGCACCCTTCTTATTCCTACGTTACTCTTGGGTCTAGCCTATCTGGGACCCCTTGCATCGGAAAGTTGCGTCCGAGGCTGCGACACCTGCTCTTGAGGGCCGGTCGCTGGATCGAGGCCGCTGCGTCTTTGGGGTCTTTTTGGGTGCCGTTTAGGGTTTAGTTTTTTGGGGCTTAGAGTTTAGGGTCTCAAACTGCGGGTTTAGGATTTCTTCCTGGGTGTTTTTGGGATTTTTGGGTTTGGGTCTAGGGTGTAGCGTTCTTGCTAAATCCAGAATCCTCATCCCCCAAACCCCTGCACCCCAAACCTGCATTCGTTAATGCATACACACAAGGGGTTGTTAAATGCAACATCTGGCATTGTGTGTCCACGGGGCATATTGCTTCAAGTGGGTTCTTCAGTTTATTGAGATTTTTGTATGGGTTGTACAACGGTTCTTCGTGAGATCTGCACGGAGTTTAAGGGTTGTGTAAGGGCTCTCCAGTGGTTCTTGATCTGTTGTAAACGGTTCTATAAAGTGTGTTGGAAGAGTTCTAGAGGGGTTCTTTCAGGGTTCTATACATAAGGCTTCCATTGGGTTGCTGCCCTAGTTCTACAAAGCTTGCACAAAGGTTCTATCATGGATCCATGTGGGCTATTCATACAATCGCGCAAGGAAGGGTTCCGCCGGCAAGTTGGTGTTTGCGGCAGAGCTTCTGATTCTGTGTCGTCGTTCCCAGACCTTCCAGTATCCCTTAATATACGGAATATACCTGAAATTATAGTCGAATCCTTAATATACTTTAAGGTGTATTCCCTACTAAAGGGATAGTGGAAGGTCGGGGGTCTCATCCGGAGAGTAAAGGGTGGACCTCCGGATCTTCGGTGCACAGTAGGAGAGAAGAAGCTATCCCACTCCCATTGTTCCTTCGTTGCACCCCTTCACTCGCGAACCCAGGGCCGTGTAGGAAGGAAAGGAGCACCGCCATGACGAAGGAGTAACCGGGTGTTACCATCAGTTTTTATCATTGAACGTTTGCACCGAACCAGAACCACAATGTTTAGATCCACAGGGTTTAAAATCTTATCGAGGGCTTGGGTTTTTTTGGGGTGCCCCTTTCCGACACAATGGGGCAGGGCCTCAGTCGTCCCTAGTGCTTCTGGGTTGGAATGTCAGAAGCACAAGGGTCCTAATCCCAAGTAACAGACCCCATAAGAATCCTGGCGCCAAACCCTTGTAGAATCCTGGTACGTACGGTTGATGGTATAGATCCTGCATTACCCATACATACAAGGAATATACCCGTCATTAAGGTAATGCAGGATGTATATCATCAACCGTAGAAGTCGTACAGAGCTCTATCCCGAAACCCTAAACAACCCCATACCACCCCCTCCCCTCCCTCCTAGCCCCGAGCCCCCAGAAAACCCTCAACCCTAAATCCTAAACCCTAAACCCTAAACCCTAAAGAAAGGTCGACCGTGAGCAGCCCCGGATCCGGCTAGCGCCGGCAGCCGTGGCGGCACCCTCACTTCAGATGCTCACGCAGTCACTCGGAGGATCATGGGACTTAGTAGCTCCAAGGGCTCCTTTAAGGAGTGGCTATAAGGGCTCCTAGACGGACGCCTATAAGGATCACTTCGGCCCTGTTTGTCGGGTGTTTTGTCTTCTACTTCTACTTATTGAGGCTGTTGTATGAACGCCCTTAACCCTAATGATACAAGTAATGATACAAGTATATATCCAAAAATATGTATGTATGTATATACATATATGTATGTGTGTACATGTATAAATGACTGGAAGTGAGGGCTATAGGGTAGTTAGTTCCTGTACAGTTTGCATGTTACTGACGTTTTGGCTCAAGGCCAATTGCAGAAGCCTAAAAAGTGCTTTCATGGTAGCGGAGCAATCCTGGATGGGTTGCTGCTGTGCTTGCAGAAGAAGGAGAGCGCAGCGCGAGAGAGCCAGGGCCAATTGGGTCCGATTGATTCAAAAGGTAAGGAAGCTGCGGAAGCTTCAGCGTCTTTTCCACAACACTGGAGTGCGGCTCCAGGATTTTCCAAGAAGGTTGCTTGATCGCCTTTCGAGGCATTTTAAGAAAGACTGATGTCTCAGCCGGGAAGTCCCACAGGAGTGGGGGCTACCCAAGGAGAGGAAATGTTACTGAGACTGCTTCAAGGGCAGCAAGAGCAGCTTCAGAGGCTGCAAGAGATGATGGGAGCCCAGGTTCATGGGCAACAGCAGCTTGCAGCTGCAACGCAGAGCTTTGCTTCGGCTAGCTCGGCCACAAAGGGACGTGGCTTGATTGATGTGAAAGCTGTGGGGCGACCGAGCCAGCTGGGCGGTACATTGGAAGAAGCGTCGCGAAATTGGCGCCAATGGTCGTATCGTCTTGAGCTTTGGCTAGCCTCGCAATTTCCGGATGCTAGGAAGATCCTTGCTTGGGTCAAGGAAAAGGGTGATACCGAGATTCCTTTGGCAAGCCTGGAGTCGACTTCGATTACGGGCGTTGCCAAGGAAGCGGTGCTGGAATTTAATCGCCAGCTTGAGGTGGTGCTTGGGACGCTTACCAGCGATGCGCCTGGGGACATCACGATGAATAGTTCGACTGGGTCAGGTTTGGACATGTTCCGGAGGCTGCACGCCCGCCTGGATCCATCGGATATGGTCACCAGCATGAGGTGGCTAAGGTCACTTATGAGCACTTCGGCGGTGGACTCCGTCACCGACCTGGTGCCAGCCATTGAAAAATGGGAGGATGCTCACCGGCGGTACAGCCAGCGGAAGGACTGCGCACCTTTGACGGAGCAGCAGAAGATGGTTTCTTTGATCGGCCTCGCGCCGTCTGAGCTTCAGGGCCACCTGGAGCTAAACCTGGGAAGGCTCAGCAGCTATGAGTTGCTGAGGAGAGAAATGGTGTCCTTTGCGGATACCAAGCGGGCCTTTACGGCCACGGACGGTGCTGTGCCAATGGAGGTGGATGCTTTGAAGGGTGCCAAAGGACCGAAGGGAAAAGGAAAGAAAGGAGACAAAGGAAAGGACAAGGCCAAAGAAACCAGGACCTGTCACATATGCCAACGCGTAGGTCACCTAGCTAGGGACTGTTGGTATAAGGATAGTAAGGGTAAAGGTAAAGGAAACCCGAAGGACCCTAAGGCTCAAGCGGGCAAGGGTAACAAGAACCGGCCAAAGGGCCGAGCCAACGAGCTTGACGGCACGGAGGGCGGCGCCATGGATGGGGCCGGCGATGCCGAATATGAAGCCGAAGAGCCTGATGAGGAAGCCGAGTTGGGCTTTATAGGGGCTCTGGATGGCGAGGGCGAAGCTGACCCTGATGGGGACCCTGCCGATGGCAGGGAAGATGGAAGCGGAGGTGATGGAGCGCTTCGTTCCTCACCTGGTGCCGACACCTCTGGGGCCGGGAGCTCCACGGATCCCCCGGCACCCAAGGCTAAAGCCAAGGCGGGATCAGCCAGTTCCACCCCAGTGGGCCTAAGGATGGCCGATATGAGTGTGCTGAACAAGCTTCAGGAAAGGCGAAGGGAGCTTGAAGCTCAGATCGCCGAGGTGGAAGCCAAGGGCAGTGAAGGTGACCAAGGGGAGCTCACCATGCACCGGCTGATGCTGGATATGGTTAAGGGTCAGATCAAGAGGGCCCAGGAGCTCAAAAGGAACCGAGAAGAGAGGATCTCGGCTAGGCTTCAGGCCGACCTGAATGCGGGTCACAACCCGCGGCTGGCAAAGCGGAAAGAAAAGAGCCGCCAGAGAGCGGCCAAGCACCGACAAAGCCTCAGGCTAGGGCAAGCCAAGGCACGAGTTAGAAGGGAGGAAGCCCTGGAGAGGAGGTTCAACATACCCGAGAGGGCACGCAAGCAGGATGAATATCCGTTGCTGCCCAGTGCTGGGTCCAAGGTGGCTGCACCACCCTCTCGCCGGGAAAAGGCTATGATGAGGGGCGAAGGCGAGGACCGCGAGCACTCTGGGGATGAGCTCGACGAGCCCAAGGAAAGGGACTGGAGTGCCAAGCCTCGGCGGCTAACGCCAGAGGGCCGCGAAGGCAAGAGGCTGCGAGAGCAGAAGAGGAAGAAAAGAAGGGCTCAGGAGATGAAGGAAGAAGCGGGTGGTGGACCGCCTCGGTCCCCACCGGCGGGGGTTCGCGGAACCGACCGGCCCAGTGAGCCGAAGGGGCCACCGCCTAAGCTGAGGCCGACCCCTAAGGTTCGGGCGACGCCCAAAGAGCCGAGTACTCCGCCACCGGGCCATGAGTCGAGAAGGAAGAAGAAGGAAGAGGAAGAAGAGGACCTGGTGGAGATGGTCTTCACCTTCATCGACGGCTCGGGGGTTGTGGTGCGAAGAAAGGGCATCTCCGAGCTCACCCTCAGCCAGAAAAGAAAGGTGGAGGAGGCAATCGCCTCTGCACCTTGGAGGGCCGAGCCCAAGTCCCGAGGCAGGCCCCAGCTGAACAAGTACAGCCAGATGTACTCGAGGTTTGTGAACTACCTCAAGGGCTACCGACCAGCCCTGCCGGAGAAGCAGATCCGCCGCAGGGGCCTTGCGAAGCAGTACCAGGCTGCAACCCGGTTTCGCGCAAGGGTTGGAATCCGGAGGAAACTCCGGGCCCTGGCCCCGAGGGGCACGGTGGGCGAAACGATCGCCAACCGGGACCTGGATGATGACAGCGACTGCCACTCGTGCCACAGCAGGCGTGTGAAGACGACCGAGCCTGCAGACCGCTTTTACAAGAAGCGGCGGGCAGCAAGGGCCAAGCAAAAGGCCAAAGAGCTCCTGAGCGAAGACGAGGAAGAAGACCAAAGGGGTTACGATGACCCCGACACAGACTCAGACCCCGGCCACCGACCTTTGGGCCGTGGGCCAAGGAGCCCACCAGGCGGTGGGGAAGGAGCCAAGGAGGCCGTGGTGTACTCCTTTGAGCCAGGGTTTGGTGGGGCCGCTTCGGCTACCACCATCCAAGTGATCCTGGATAGTGGGGCGAGCCACAATGTGATCCCACAAGAGTGGGTGAAGCACCTGGAATGGGGACCCGCCGAAGGACCGGCAGGCTTCCGCACCGCAGACGGAAGCTGGCTGCCAAACCTCGGTACGGCCGTGGTGTCTTTGAGGTCGACCGAAGGGTTTTCCTTTAAGGTCCGGTTTTGCGTGGCCTCGGTGCAGCGTGCGCTTCTCAGCGCGACCCAAGTGCTGAAGCTTGGGCACACGATCGTCCTGAAAGGATCGAGAGCGGTGATCCGTGTGAAAGGAAGCGAGGAGAAAACTTTGGTGTTCAAGATCCTTGGGTCGCCTAAGGCGACGTTTGCTTTCAAGGGTTTCCCGCGGCACTGCCCGGAGGAGTGCAGGTAAGCCCAAAGGGAGGCCGGAAGCCCGAAAGCGTTTTCACCCACCTTGCGGTAGCTCAGGGAGTAGGTGCTGTAGATGTACAGAAAAATTCGAAAGTTTCACCTGACAGCCATTTTGGCGCGGTAGGAAAAGGTAGCGTTTTTCATCTGCCTAGGCCCCCTCCGGTAGCTAGTTCTCCCGACCACTTTTTCATAGGATCGGAAGGAGAAGAGGACAAAGCCGAGGAGGAAAGAAGCAAAGCAAAGGAGAAGGCAAAGGAAGAACCAAGAAGCCCAACGCGCAAAGCAAAGGAAAAGCCAAGAAGCCCAACACGCAAAGCAGAGGAAAAGCCTAGGTCTAACTCGGGCAAGAATCGATCTGGATCCCTTTATGTGGGTGAAGCCGGCGGTGCTGATCCACCAAGGGAGGAAGCTGCTTCAGCGTCCTCCCAGCCACAGGTCGATGAGGGTCAGTCTGCTCAGCCGTTGGCCCGGCCAGACCGACCAACGCCCGAGATGATAGCAGCTCATGAGGTTTCCCACGTTCCATACAGGAGTTGGTGCCGAGCCTGCGTTGCAGGTCGTGGTCGAGCCTACCAGCACAAAGCCTCGGGTCAGGAGTCCACGGTGCCTGTCATCAGCATGGACTACCTCTACTTCAATGAGAGGACCGATGGCGCTGGACTGCCCACCATAGTCCTTCGCGATCGCCACTCGAAGGCTATCTTCTCGCACCTCCTCCCGTGCAAGGGAACGACCGGATCTACGCACCCTGAGCGAGCTATCTTGAAGGACCTTGAATTCCTAGGGTACAAGAAACTGGTCCTAAAGAACGACCAAGAAGCTTCTATCAAAGCTCTATCTCTCGCTGTTCGCAATGGCTTCAGTGGGGAGATTGTTCCGGAAGAGTCACCTAAGGGGGACCACCACGGGCAGAGCAACGGGGAAGCTGAGAGGTCCGTTCAGACAGTGCAGGGTTTAGTGCGGACCCTGAAGGCCAGTTTGACCGAGAAGGGCATTACCCTTGAACCCACCTCAGCCGTGTTTGCCTGGATGATTGAATATGCTGGTGTGCTGCACACCCTGTTCAGTCAAGAGCTCCATGAAGGGTTGACGCCTTTTCAGCGAATAAAGGGGCGCAAGTGGCAAGTGGCTTTGCCATGCTTCGGTGAAGCTGTGGACTACCGCCGCAATACGCGCTCAAAGCTGGATTCGCGATGGCAATCTGGAGTTTATCTGGGCCTACGTCTGCAAAGCACGGAGAAGATCGTGGGGACCAACCAAGGGATCTTTGTGGTCCAGAGCATCAAGCGGAAACCCGAGGGCCAACAATGGGATTCCGACTTGGTCAAGGCAGTTCGTGGATTGCCCTGGAAGACCTCACCGGACGAGACTGGAGATGGTGCTCGATTACCCGAGCCACTGACCGTTCGAGCTCAAGTTGAGGAGGGACTGCCTCCACCTGCTCGCGAACTGGTTAAGCCCGAGGTAGCACCCTTCAGACGTACCTACATCCGCCAGTCTGACCTAGACAAGTTTGGGTATACGGCTGGATGCGAGGCATGCTCAGCAATCCGTGAGGGTCGAAGGAGAACGGGCATCAACCACACTGAGCACTGCCGCTCAAGGATCATGGAAGCCCTAAAGGATTCAGAAAGCGGAAAGGCCCGACTGGAACGCGAAGAGCAGCGTGAGAGTGAATTCTTCGATAAGGTGAACAAAGCAGAAGAGAAGAAGAGGAAGGTGAGTACTGAGCAGGAGGCGTCCTCTTCCACAGACCCTCCAGCGGCCCAACCTTCCAGACCTCTGACCATTGCTCGCCAACCGCCTTTGAGGCCAGAGGTTCCGAGCGAACCTAGCTCTCTGCCACCTGGTGGTGCGGCTGCTTCAGCTGCGCCCAGTGGGGGCCAGAAGAGAAAGAGTGAAGGCGGGGGGGACGAAGGTCGTGCCGAGCTGGCACCTCCTGACGCAAGGTCCGAAGGTCAGAAGCGCAAATCACCTGAGAATGCCGAAGGCATGATCGAAGAGCTCATTCTTCAAGAGCGCGAAGGTTTCATTGCCAGTATCGAAAACGAGGAACAACCCACGTGCGACTTAGAGGACGACTTGTGGGAGGAAAAGTTCTACGACGAGAATACTGGTAAAGAGCTTCCCGCCGAAGGTGTCAAGCAAGCTCGCATGGAGGAGATCCAAGTTATCAAAGACATGCAGGTTTGGGAGCCGATTCCAAGACCCCCTGGCGAACGGGTCATCGGCACCAGATGGATTGACATCAATAAGGGGGATGATCTTCGAAAGAAACTGCGCTCAAGGCTGGTAGCACAAGAACTGAAGAGAAAGAAAGGAGTCAACGAAGATCTGAGCTGGACCGAGTTCTTTGCGGCAATGCCGCCATTGTCCTCATTGAGGGCTCTCTTCACACTGGCTACAACTGGGCGCGTACCCGGCCCAAACAAGAAAGCCTTCCAGATGAACGAGCATGGTGAAGTCTGTGTGCTGTTCATTGATGTGAAGAAAGCTCACTTCTGGAGTCCAGTCAGGAGGCGACTCCTCGTGGAGCTCCCACCAGAAGCGGGAGAAGGACCTGACAAGGTCGGCCTTCTCAAAAGGAGTCTCTACGGAACCCGTGATGCACCGAGCAACTGGGAACATGCCATCAAGAAAGTAATGACCGACTTGGGTTTTAAGCAAGGGGTGTCCAACCCGTGCCTTTACTTTCACCCTGAGCATGGCTTACGTTGCAATGTGCATGGAGACGATTTCACAGTCGTCGGGGGCTACAACAAGCTTCAATGGTTGATTGAGTCACTTCAGAAAGCGTGGACAATTGAGGTGCGAGGAATCTTGGCACGGCCCGGCTCGAGCCTGCCAGGAGTTACTCACAGCATCTCTGTGCTGAACAGATTGGTCACGTGGACCAACGAAGGGATTGAGATGGAAGCCGATCCTCGGCACGTGGACCTGGTGTTGGAACACCTGGGTTTGAATAACTCCAGCCCTGTTACCACACCACTTGTTAAGAGCACAGGGGATGAGGATGAAAGTCCACTCTCCAAGGAAGATGCTGGACTCTATCGGTCCATAGCAATGAGAATTGGGTATCTGTCAAGCGACAGACCCGACATGCTTCGGACTGTGAGGGAACTTGCTAAAGGCCTTAAGGAGCCCACTCAATATCACTGGAACCTGCTCAAGCGTGCAGGGAGATACTTGAGAGGAGCACCTCGCCTCGTGCAGCTTATCCCTCACCAAGAAGGGTTCAGTGTCATTCAAGGATGGAGTGATACAGATCATGCAGGATGCGTTCGCACGAGAAAATCCACAACCGGGACGGTCGTGCAACTAGGGAAGGCAGTCATCAAAGCCACTGCGAAAGGGCAGGCAGTCATAGCACTATCCAGTGGGGAAGCTGAATACTACGGCCTGATATCCACCACCAGCGCATGCTTGGGTGAACAAGCAATGTTGGCTGATTGGGGCATCAACTGCCCTGTGGTCATCAACATGGACGCCACCACGGGCATATCCATTGGAAGCCGGAGAGGTCTTGGACGTGTGAAGCACATCCACACCTGCTTCCTGTGGGTTCAAGAGGTGATCGACTCTGGCCGAGTTAAGCTGAAGAAGGTCCCTACGGGAGAAATGCTGGCTGACCTGATGACAAAGCCTCTGGATGCGAAGCTCATCCAGAAGTTCCTGCAAGGAATGGGCTACAACAGCAGAGCGGGACGACATCCTTTGGCCCTGAAGACGTGAAGCTAACAACCCATGCCTCACCACTCGTGAGAGCTGTGCCAGCATCTCACTCGGGAGGCGTGACTGGAAGTGAGGGCTATAGGGTAGTTAGTTCCTGTACAGTTTGCATGTTACTGACGTTTTGGCTCAAGGCCAATTGCAGAAGCCTAAAAAGTGCTTTCAATAAATATAAATATATATATATATATATATATATATATATATATTATACATACAAACATACCCGCGCTAGAAAGGAGCCGTTCAAGAAACCATAGGCTGTCTGGGCCTTATTTTCGGGTTTTACAGCTTACAGGCTTCATGGGCTTGGCTGGTTGGGGCTTAGGCCATGGCTTTGGGTTTAGGGTTTAGGAATTAGGGATTAGGGTTTAGGGTTTAGGGCTTAGGCTTAGGGCTTTCTACTTTATGTTCTGCGATTCGATAGGTTGCCCAGAGGTGGGTTTTGCATGGGATTCGTGAGGGTTGCCCTAAAAGGTCAACCCTCAGCCCCAAACTCAAGGAAGCCCTAAACCCTAAACCCCCAAACCCCCGAACCCTAAACCTCCAAACCCTAAACCCTAAACTCAAGGAAGCCCTAAGCCCTAAGCTTTAAACCCTAAGCCCTAAATCCTAAACTCAAGGAAGCCCTAGACCCTAAACCCTCCACCCAGGAAGCCTGCGCCACTTCCACCGCCGCCTCTGCCACCTCCTGCGCTTCCCTCGCCAACCAGCGATGGCTTCATGGCCGGTAAAGGTTCATCGGATTTAGTAACCGGGGTTTAGGGTTTAGGGTCAAGGGCTTAGGGTCTAGGATTCAGGGTTTAGGGTTTTCGGTTTAGGGTTTTGGGTTTAGGGAACTATACTTAGGAATATTTATAGTCCGAAATAAGGAACATATATTTATTTCCTATTGAAGTCTCATAATCCTCCACGTGCAGGGGCTCGGGTTTTAGGGTTTAGGAAGTAGGTTTCAGGTGTAGAGTATGAGTTCTAGGCAAAGATCAAGGAGCAGTATCTGTGAGTATCATTTTGATACTCCTTAGCTGTGGCGCTGAAGAAGACCGCCAAGGGCAAGAAGGGAGAGCAAGCAGCACAGAGGAAAAGCAACGGCAGGAAGACAAGGAGAAGCTGCCGGTGACACAGGCGATCCGCCTTCAGCAGCGATGGTGCCAAGCTCATGTTGAGCGAACTCATGGCCTACTTCGAGTCCCACCCCAGCGAAGCCAGCTTTACCTTGGCGAACATCAAAGCCGGCCGCATGGGGCTTTGCTTATCGGCTTTCAAATTGCAGGGTTTAAGTCATACATAAGAATCATGGGCAGCCTGGCAGGGATTTAGAGGGTTCCTTGCAGGGTTCCATATAGGGATTGATAGGGGTTTAGGGCTTAAAGGATCGTGAGATTAGTAACTAGGTTTCTCAATAACGTAGCAATTCTAGCGATTACATTTTCCTAATTAAGATACTCATATCCTTACTCTCCAAGTCCCGTTCTCCTCCGAAACCAAGTAAATAGAACCCTGTTGTTTAGAAGGTTGAAGTGGGATGCGCCTTGAACTTTACCAGAACCCTTCATGCACTCAAAGGCCCATTCCTTAATTCAGGGGCCTAAAACCCTAAAGCCTTCCAACCCTAAGCTCTGGACCCTACGGCCTTTAACACCTCAAAACCCTCATAGAATCTGCAAGTCTCTTACGAAACCTTCGCATTATCTTTTAGTCCAAGTTCTATAAACCGCAACTCGCAACCTTCATGACCAACATAGTAGGACTCCAAGTAACACTCCTTCATGGTGGAAGATCGTGTTTTGAACAAGGGGGCTTGAACAAGGCTTTCGGGATGTTGTCGCGGTTTTTGTCGTTTTTTGGGTTTGATACTTTAAACCATAGTATGAAGGCCTTTGTATTTTAGGAGTAGTCTTCAGTTAGGGAGCGTTGGGCTCGGCGGGAAATCCTTTTCGTTTTTTGTTAGCTTGTAGGTCTCCAGGGATAGGGGGTTGTTTTGAGTCATGGAGTTAACCCTAAACCCTAAACCCTAAAGGGTTTAGGGTTCAGGGAGGCTTGGGTTTTTGGGTTTTTTGCGTTTAAGGTCTTTTTTGGGTTTAAGGTTTCCGTGGTTTAGAGTCGTTTCGCACCCGGCTTTGTGACTCGGTGTTACAGGTTCAGGCTTCAGGGTTCTTAGGTTTGGAGTAACACTGACTTGTAGTCCGAAACCACGCGTATCAAACCTGGTCGTCATCTCTGAACAAGCCTTATACCCCCTCTACAGGTTCACAACTCCAAAGCCAAACCTTAAACCCACATCACCGTGGAACCCTAAACCCTAAACCCTAAAACTAAAACCCCAAGCCCTACACTCTATAAACCCCAAACCGGCCCCATATGCCCTGGAAGCCCTAAACCCTAAAATCCTCTCAACCCAAAAACCCTAAACCCCACAAGCCCTAAAAGCCCTAAACCCTTTGCCCAAATGACCCGCAACTGTTGATGGACAAAATCCTGCATAACCTTCCCTAAACTATGGGAACGATGGTATATTCCTTATAACGGGTAATGCAGGATTTATAGCCCTAAACCCTAAACCCCCTATAGATCCCTTAAAGGAGCCCGTTGAAGGTACCCTTATAGATCCCTTTAAAGGGACCCCAGGATTTATATCATCAGCCGGATAATCCCGAGGCGAGAGTCAGAGATCGCCTGGCCCGTCCCCTGTGGATGAGTCAGGCCTGGGTCGTTAAGCCCGAAAGCCCGAAACTAAGAACCCGAATCCCTGACCCTAAACCCTAAACCTTAGACTGTAAACCCTAAACCCTCAACCCTGAACCCTAAACCCTAAACCCTGAACCCTGAACCCCTAAGGCCTAAACCCTCAACCCTAAACCCTGAACCCTAAACCGTAAACCCTAAACGCAAAGCCCTGAGCCCGAAATCCTTAGCCGAGGGCCTTCTTCTCTGCATCTTTTCGGAGTTTACTATAGGGGCCTTAACAATTACCTATACTATTTTGGGGGGTTCCTTACTATAAGCATAATACAATATACCCCGAAGTCCATTTCCAAAATTATTAAGGCTCCTACATTAGGGCTGTTCTGCTGCCATAATCAAGCGGGAGATCTTTTTGCTCCATGTAGGGCGTCTTCGCGCTTCAGAGGATATACCTTAAGTTATACAGTTACACGGCCCTAACCCTCCTAAATTCTAAACCCTTTCTATATCCTAAACCCTCTCGAAACCCCAAACCCCAAAATCCAGCTTTGATCTGATTTGAAGAAGATTCCTTTACCTCGGGGGTGGAGTTTGAAGGGATCTACTTGAGGATCATAAGGATTTATAGGTGTAGGTGCCTTAGTTATACCTAGGTCTCATGACCCCTTATGTAAGGGTACAGCGCGGAGGATATGTCGTTCAACCTTCAACCTGAAACCTGGAATCCACCAGCACGTCAGCCGTCTCAAGGCAGCGCACGGGCTAGAGGCAAGCTCAAAGCTCCCAAAGTCCCAAGTCTTGTTGAACCTTAAGGATCCGTTTTGCTTTTTATGGTTTGGGTTTCTGTCTTCGACAAGGGAGGGAATGGGTAGTTCTCTAAATTAGCTCCATTTTTAAGGCCCCCAACATAGTACGCACCCTTACAAAAAGTGAGCTTGGCTTCGAGAACTTTCTAAATGAAAAGGATCGAAGGCGAAAAAGGGCTAGGTTCCATCTAACCTTCCCAGGCGAGGTCGACAATCTGATCGACTTGCTGATGACGCTGGGCTTCTTTCGGCCCTATTTTTCTCTTGTACTTGGAGGGCTGAGGGACTTCCTGATTAGTTTAGGGTTTAGGGTTTAGGGTTTTTTTGTAGATTTACAGTAGAAGCCAGAAAGTTGGAATATCATTATCGTAACCCCTTTAAGGTAAATTATAGGGGATCCTACCATTAATCCATATTCCAACTTTCTGGAGTTCCTTTTACAGGTACCATAACCCCAAATAGGATCCCGGGGGTTCTTTTCGGGTACTTGTAACTCTACGTTTTACCTACTTACTAAGTCCCCCGACCCTCCAAGTAGGCAGTAGTCCCACCTTACCAACCATGGCACCCTCATGCCCCTGGGGTCTATGGTCTTAGGGTTTTGGGGTTAAGTAAAGATTGAATGATTTGGGGTTTAGGGCTTCAGGGTTTTGGGGCTTCAGTTTATGCGCAGAGTGGTTTTCGTATTCAGGTTTAGGGCTTAGCACTTCATGCGGGGGCCCTGACTGAATGATGGCACATATTTTTCCCCACATTTCATAGGATAAGCCCACCGAAGTCATCATGTTTTCGCCTGTCCTCTATGATCATCGTTGTCGTACTGACGATCTGCACCCTGTCGCTAACATCATCCGCGTCACCATCGACGATTAGGGTCCATTGGTGGTGTCCTGGTTCCCCCTCATCATGGCCATTGTCAACACAGCGTCACCTCGGTTACCAACACCGCCACCACCTCATCATCTTCGTCATCACCATCATCATCACTAGGATGCCCAGTAGTACCCTTATTCCCTTTTTGTAGTCCTCGGTTCCCTATAAGTTACCCAATACCAAAAAGGGAGCCCTTTTTATTCCTAGGTTCATCCTAGATCAGATCAGACTTTGGAAACACTAAACCGGCAACCCTTACACCCGGAAGCTCGAATCCCGTAAACCTTCAATACACTAGGCCTGGTGCGGGCGTGCGAAAATGTACAATCTTGCTTAGGTGTCGATTTGTTGCCGTTGCTTTGGTGTTGAGTGGTGCCTCAATGCTAAGGTGTACGAGTTGCTGCCGTTGCTGCGATGAACGACTTGTTGCCCTCGGCGAGTTCCATCGCAAGATCTCTGATATGAGAACAGGAACGCGCTTGAAGTGGAGTTTGGTCAAAGAGAAGCTTATTCGACACCGTGCTGTCAGCAGGGTAACAACGGTCACAGCCAAGAAAAAAACGCTTGGCGTCCCATGGGTTTCTGGGTGAAGAAATCGGAGGCTTCAAAAGGTGGGTAGGATGAAGGATCCCTTATATAAGGCATCTTATTTTGGGATTATCCCACCTATCCTCATCCCACCTTTTGAGGCCCCTGAAGAAAGGGTTTCCTGCCAAACAAGCCAAGAAGACATGCCCCGTATTCGGAACGGTGTATCAGCTTCAATTGGAGACCACCAGTTCCACAGATTCGTTTCGCTATGCCGAGAAGCTGTTGTCAAAATCCATGCAGAAGGTCAAGAAATATGTAAAAGGACTACCTGTAGCCGAAGAGACTTACTTTTTTAGGGTTCCTTATTATGGTTTCTATACATAGTACCTTAAAAAGGTAGGTCTTTTCGGCTACAGTTAGGGTGTGTAGCTACTGCCAGCCAGAGGCCGGAACCTGCAGCTCCCCTGCACCCAAAATCGCCCAACTTCCGGCCCTCGAACCCTAAACCCTAAACTCTAAACCCTAAACCCCAAACCCTAAGCCCTAAACCCTAAACCCTAAACCCCTAAACCCTAAACCCGCAACCCCAAGCCCTCCAGCCCTAAACCTTCAAACCGAAGCCTCCACCTACTATAGGGGCCGAAATAATTACCTATACTATTTTGGGGTTCCTTGTTATAGTTATAGTATAGTGGGCCCCAAAACCCGATTCTAATTATTAAGGTCCCTATATTACACCCTGCACCCAGAACCAGAAGCCTTGAACCTAGGCACTAAACCATGGGCCGAACGGTAGTATATACTATGCAGTACAGTTTATAGTATACAGTATATAGTATATAGTATATAGTATATAGTATATAGTATGTAGTATGCTGTGCATAGTATATAGTGCAAGTGCATTGTATACCGCAAATCCCTATGCTGCGTCGAGGAACGAAGCGCTGGCGCCGGTGAACCCTGAGATGCGGAACTTGGTGCAGAAAGTGAGCCATGGACACCTGGCCAAGCAAGTCGGGGCTTCAAGGTTTAGGGTTCAGGGTTTAGGGTTTAGGGTTTTAGCTGTAGTTTTCAGCTTTACTACAGGGGCCTCAATAATTGCCTACACTATCTGTTCTTTTTTTTTTTTTGTGGGGGGGGGGGGTTCTTATTTTAATTGTGGTCTAGCGGGCCCCAAAACCCTATTCTGATTGTCGAGGCCGCTATTGTAAGCTTTGGGTTCTGGATTTAGCTATTCGGGCTTTATGGGTTTAGTGTTTAGGGTTTAGGGGTTTGGAACTTACAGCAGCGTTGTCTCCTGATTAGTGTGCCCTTCACTAGACAATACTATTCCATAGGCTTCTTCATTATACAAGCAAATATCTATGTATGTGTAAACACATAAACAAACACTATAATGTAATATGCATCCCAAATCCCTCCTCCTCGAAATAGTTTTTTGTCGGGCGCTGCAGTGCCGGCAGGGGAGGACAGTGGAGCTCCTCTTTGCTGCCCTTCGGAGTCTAGGAAACATGGTGGTGGTGGTATGTGTGGTAGTGTTGGGTGGTGGTCGTGGCGGTGGTAGTGGCGGAGTGGCGGTGGCGGTGATGGTGGTGGGGGGTTGCGGTGGTGGCGGTGGTGGTAGTGGTAGCAGCAGCAGTCTGTAGTCTATAGTGCTGCAGAGATCCCCACCTCAATGCGAAACATCAGGTCATACGGGGATATGTACATTTTATATACATCTATATATAGTTTTGTATATACGCACATACTATATGGGTCTTATGCAGGATTTATGAGGGTTTCTTACGTTCCCTAAACCTCTTCCCCCCCCAGCATGCTGCCAGGCTTCATGGTACTACCAACCTCCCCCATGCAATGCGTCCATGCATGCATGTGTGCACGTAGTATGATATGGCCAAAATCTTGATTCAACCCACCAGCACACCTTAATCAACCTCAAACCCTAAACCCCTAAACCCCATAAACCCCTAAACCCTAAACCGTAAGCCCGCCCCTAAACCCTAAACCCCTAAACCCTAAACCCTGAACCCTAAGCCCGCCCCAAGCGCTAGATGACAAGAAATGTTCCTTAGCTCATGTTGGGAGTAAGGTTTAGGGGTCAGGGTCTAGGGTTTAGGGTGTAGGTTTCAGGGTTTAATGGACGCAGGATCAAAGGATACCGGATCCACCATGGCCTGCTACTACAGGGGAATTAGACTACGGTTTTGGGGCCCATTATACTATAAGTATAATAAGGAACCCCCCCAAAATAGTACAGGTAACTTTTCCGGCCCCGATACGGTAGTATCCTTATAGTAGCCCTTATGTAGAACCCTTTTAAGGATCCCTTTAAAGGGACCCCTCTAGAGCCCTATTAAGGCCCCTATAGTAGGTCTCCGTCCTTGTCAGGAGTCTACCGCATCAGCGGGAAGGAGGTCACACTTCATACTGTAAGCGGTGCTCTCTACGTTTACCGCGCCCTGGCTTCTTCAGATGCCCCGCTACGCTCAGGCTAAGCCCTATCTGTCGAAACTCGAAGCCCAAGACCTCCACCAGAAGGGTTCCCTTGCAAGTATTCATCGAGCTTTCCTGATTCTGTTCACAGCGGTGTCAATGCTGATTGTAATACAAGAGTCTGAAAGGCTTTTGGTGGTGGTGGTGGTGGTGGTGGTGGCGGTCGTGGTCGCTACTTACAGGATCATGGGACTTAGTAACTGGGGTAATATATCAGGTAACCATACTTATAAGTACATAAACCCTAAACCCTAAACCGTGGCAGGTACTTATATCCTTACTTACTAAGTCCCATGATCCTCCAAGTAAGACCATGAAGCCTGAAATCCCTCAAGGCCGTCTGTCTAAACAGGCTCCTGAAAGGAATTTCTCAAGGAACCCTCCTCAAATTCCCAACAGCTCTAGGAAGAGCCTGAGGAATCTCTTGACCGAAGCTCTCGCAAGGCATTACTTACATGTTGGAACGTTTGCTGGTTTGGGGTTGAGGGTGTCGGGTTTAGTGTGTAACTCGTGTAGAGGAACACGAATACAAATTGGTTTATACTAGGACCCAGAGTAGGCCCTTACCCAGAGAAGGCTCTCATTCCCTCTTTTAGGGTTTAGGTTCCCTTCTAAACCCCCTTTAAACAAAAAGGAAACCCGTTTTATTCCTAGGCTACTCTTAGGTTTGGTATACAGGACGCCGGGTTTGTTGACATGAACAAGTACATCAAAACTGGTGCAAAGCCTCAACAAATATTGACCCTGAGATACCAGGGACTCGATCAAGTCACTTAGCCCAAAAGCCTAGCACCCTGAGCCCGATACAGTTCCCTTATACCCAGAGACTCCAATATCCCTTAATTCAGGAATGTACCTTAACTCATCTAAGGGATCCTACTATAATTCAGTTTATATTGCTTCATTAAGGGATATTGGAGTCCCCTAGGAACCCTTATCGGATCCCTGTAAAGGGAGTCTCTCTGGAGTAGAACCCTTCGAGGCATCGGTGACTCGATCAAGTACCCTAAACCCAAAAGCCTAGCTAGCACCCTAAGCGCCATATACATCCCTTACCCTAAACCCTAAACCCTAAGTTCTGGACCCCTAAACCCTAAACCCCCAAACCCCTAAACCCCTGAACCCCTAAACCCCTGAACCCTGAGCCCTTAAACCCCTGAACCCTACACTCCCTCAAAGAACCCTTCAAGGCATCCCTTTAAAGGGACCCTAGGAACCCTTATAGGATCCATGTAAAGGGAGTCTCTCTGGAGTAGAACCCTTCGAGGCATCGGCGACTCGATCAAGTACACGCCCATTAAGTCGCTCCTGATAGAGGAGGGCCTGGTTCCCTCGGAGGAAGTCGCAGGCCGAAAAGATCGAGGGCTGTGGGTTTAGGGTTTATTAGGGTTTATTAGGGTTTATTAGGGTTTATTAGGGTTTATTAGGGTTTATTAGGGTTTATTAGGGTTTAGGGTTGAGGGTTTCGGGTTAAGGGTTCACAAGCTCAGATTTTTTTTGGTTTTTCTAGCTTTATGGTTTCTTTTGGTGCTTTGTAGGCAGAGTTTTCAGATGCTGTATTTGGGGATGTATAAAGGGCAGTAGGGCACAGCTTCATCATGAGTGATCAGCGCGATTCTGGCACGTTCGTATTCCTCGACTGGTGCTGCGTGGATTGTACTTGGTTTAGGGGTTTAGGATTCAGGGTTTACAGGGAACTCCAGAAAGTTGGAATGTGGTTTCATGGTAGGATACCCTATAATTTACCATAGAAGGGTTAAGATAATCATATTCCAACTTTCTGGCTTTTACCTTAGGGGTTTAGGGTTTAGGGTTTAAGGTTTAGGGTTTAGGGTTGTCGAGCAACTTCCGTCCATCGACTGGAGGGCCTGCGACCTACGCTATAGAAGGCAGCATCCACGTCACGGCCGAAGGCGTTAGCTCAGAGTACGACGGTTGATGATATAAAGCCTGCATCACCTTAATGCCTTAATGACCCTAGACTGTGGTAATTATTGTATATTCGTTTTTACCTTAAGGGTCCAAGTACCCTATCTTGTACTCTCCAAAATAGTAACCTACATCTCTACGACCCTCGACCCGAGTACCTAATTATTGGCTCTTTTAGACCTTTCCAGTAGAAGCCCACAAGTTGGAAACCCAACAGCCTCAATCCTTAAGAGTAATGTGTAGGGAATCCCAGCATGACTTGGCCTTAATCCGGTTTCCAACTTCATGGGGTTTGCTGTAGTCCCCTAGACACTTAACCCTAAAACCATCTTTTGTCATAGATCCTTTAACGGAGCCGCTGAGGAAACTGTAACCCTAGGGTATTGGGCTGTTCGTCGCACGAGGACCGAGGCTTCTCCTTCTCCCTGAGCCTAAACTTAAAGCACCAAAGCACTAGGGCCGAAAGCCCAAAACGTCCCAAGGCCCTGAACCTTAAACCCCCAAAGCCCCAAACCTGAGAACCCCGAACCTTCAAGCTTACTTGGAGGGTCGGGGGACTTACTAAGTAGTTGTTCTGGAGAGTTAGAAGTACCATAACCCCAATTAGGGTCCCTTTTCGGGTACTTATAACTCTACGTATTACTGACTTACTAAGTCCCCCGGGTGTGTGTGCGCTAGACTAGAGTAAAGTTTGCAAACGCCCTGACTCAAGAGATACGCGCGCACACACACACACACATGCACGCGCGCGCACGCGCACGCGCACACGCACGCGCGCACACACACAGACACACACAGACACACACAGACACACACAGACACACACACACACAGACACACACACAGACACACACAGACACACACAGACACACACACAGACACACACACAGACACACACACAGACACACACACACACAGACACACACACAGACACACACACAGACACACACACACACACAGACACACACAGACACACACACACACACAGATATATATATATATATATATATATATGTGTGTGTGTCTGAACGTAATTTACACACATTGACACATATGCGTATGTATGTATGTATGTATATATACATATATATATATATATACAAACGGGTATATATGTATATGTGTATGTATACGGATGTGTAGATGTGTAGAAAGAGATGTATAAGTATGGAAACATGAATACACATGAATGTGTATGTGCATGCACACATGCATGTATGTATGTGTGTGTATGTTGGTGTGTATGTACGTATGTTTGTACGTATGTGTGTATGCATGTTTGTATGTGAATGTGCATGTGCATCTGTATCCGTATTTGTATATGTATATGTCTACGCATATGAACGTGTACATCCATAGGTACACACACATATATATGTACATATATACATATATATATATATACACCTATATTCATATGTAATTCTAGATGTGTATATGTACATAATATATATATATATATATATATATATATATATATATATACATATACATATACATATACATATACATATACATATACATATACATATACATATACATATACATATACATATACATACATACACATACACATACACATCTGTGTGTGTATATATATATATACACATACGTACGTACACACACACACGCACATGTACGTACATATATGCATAGGCACATACACACATGGACATAAGCACATACATACCCAAACCCGCAAACACCCACCTACCTACCTACCTACCCACCTTCCTAGCATGCCTACCTGCCTGCCTACCTAACTGCCGACCTACCTACAACCCTATCTGCGTGGCTGCCTCCCTACCTACTTACCTCCCGCTACACACACACACAGAGTACTAGGGTCCTGAATATGAGTCAGGTTGGAGCTATATTTTGGGTACTGCTCCCACCCTGTAACAGGGGGTCAGAATAAGGTCCATATGGTGCTACACATAGTGTCCAACTGTTGCAGAATGGAGGCAGTACCCAGGCTATATTCCCTGAACCAAGCGCTTTCGGGTTATCTGGCATCTGCAGGGAGCAGGCAGGGCTCCGCCCCGCCGGTGGACACGTCCTCTGCCTCCTGACACCATCAAGACAGGGTTCATAGGAGGTTAAAAGGGTTTTTAGGCTATGGGGGTTTAGTAGGGATTAGGGTTCCCATAATAGGGTTCCTTTTTAAGGAATCCCTACCCCAAGAATCTTAAACCCCCCTTTTGGCCTCCCATCAAGGGTTCAGGGCTCAGAGTGTGCCATAAGAGTCTTACCACTTCGGGCAGCCTGAAAGTGTAGGGTCTCTGAGACCCCAAAGAGATCCAAGGGCTCTCTCCAGGAGATCCCGGAATTTTGGTAAGGCTTATTCGAAGGAGATACCTGGACCCTAAGGGCAGGGCTTAGAGGTTACCTTAAGCCGGAATAACCTACCTTTTTAGAGTTCCGTACTATGATTTCCTTTATAAGTCCTTAAAAAGGTAGGTTATTCCGGCTCAAGGTAAGGCTTAAAGTTTAGGGCTTAGGGTTTTGAGCCGTCTCCCCGGGCCTTCAACAAACCCTAAGCCCGAAACGTACAAAGCTTTACTCGGAAAACATGATGCCGGTTCTACCCCAAAACACCGAAACTACAAACTATAAATCCTTGAACTCGAAAAGTCAATGCGATACCGATAATATGCCCCTCGCGCCCCATAAACCCTAAACCCTAATTCCCTAAACCCAGAACCCGGAACCCTAAAACCCTAACCCCGTGATTGATTGGCGACTGCTGGATCCCCAAAATCTAGCGGAAACTGCCACGCGGTGGGACCAACTAGGGTTGAGTAGGGTTGGGTGGGGTGGGGTATTGCTGGGGGCATGAGTAGGGGTCCAATTAAATTACTCCAATACCATTAAAATCCACCTAAAATGCAGCTAAAACTAGTCGCGCAAGGGTACGGTTGGGTGGGGCCGGGAGGGGCTGGGCAGCGGAGTAGGGTTGGGTAAGGTTGGACGGACCTTGGAGTTAGGCATGCCGCAGGGCCCGCAGTTCGCCAGAGGCACTAGCAAGTCTAACTTCTGGGCGCCGCGCAGGGTCGGCGAATGTTTCGAATCTGCATGAGGACATCACGGACCTGACTCTCTTGGAAAGCCGCCTCTTCCACAGCATGAAAACTCTGGAAGGGAAGAGCGTTGGGAAGTGGAGAGTTCGTGATAACTGAGGCTCGACAACGACCCATCTGAACGATCCAGCCATCCTGCGGGTCGTGCTGGCAGCTTAGGCATGTAGCAGCATGTAGGGTCCTGCATTCTGGGTGTTATGGTAAGTTGATGCAATGCCGTAGGCCAGCCGGTGCTGGAGGCGACGGCTTCTCTCTGCCGCTGCAGACACATGGGAGACACCGTTGGCCAAGTATGTCAGAACATTTTGCTAGAGCGATTCCCGCAATGCCACGGGGATAAGGCGTCTTGCTGGCAACTTCGCTGTTCGCCTTGACGGCTTTGTGCAGCTTGGCCAGGGAGGGTCTGTTCACAGCAGGTACAGCGACATCTCGAAGTGGATCGGTCCGAGCCTTAGCAATTCTGCGAAATGTCAACATGCATTTTGTTCGGCCTGGTGGTCGCGCTTCTGAGGACCCCACCAGTGCCAGCTGGTCGGCCGTGTCACTCTTGGTTGTTTCATGCGTTTCCTTGACATGCATTCTCAGCTTGCGCCGTTGCGACGTTTTTCCAAGGTCCCGCAGTGCTTCCAGTCGCCAACAACGTAGTCGCACCGGGTGACAGATGCGACAAAAGCTGCACAATGTCTTTACGTTTGACGGTGGGACGTGCAATGTCGGTTGCAAAGGGGTAGGCTGCACATTGCTGGCTTTAACTGCATCAGATCTGCTCGTCCCCGGAACCGTTCCCCTGCACGAGGCTTCTCGCATCAATGGTTTACTTGATGGTGCAAGCACACTTGTTCTCGAAAGCATCTTTGCAAGCGCAGACCCATGTGCGCTCTTCGTCAAAACCCTGCTTTATGTGGCCGCCGAGCAGCTCCAGCGGGACTTCGGCCAGCAAGGACAAGTGGAAAGCGTTGAGGCCATGGGTTGGTGTTGAACCCACTTCCGATCCGTGCCTGACTTCGAACCCCAGGCGGGGACGCAGCATGATGGTGGCATAGACGCGACTGTGCACTATGCCACCTGACACAGCCGTGGATGCCATGCGATGCTGGAACAGCACGCGTTACATGGGGCATCTCATCAAAATCGATTTTGCACGCTGCGGCCAAAGTCCGGCGAGAGGTCCTTGCCAGAAGCTACGATTCGTCAGGTTCGAGACATTGCAAGAGCTGCTATGGTTTTGCCAGACCTGAAGTCACTTAAGACAGTGCTTGAAGCGATCAAACACAAGGCCAAAAACGGGCAGGTCATTGTCGTCAGAATCAAGAACAGGCTGAAGTTGGATCGCCCTCCTGAAGGCTCTACGCCTTCGACGTTTCGCAAGAATGCTTGGAGAGACGTGCAGATGCTCCTTTGCTTTGGTGATTACGGCGGCCCCTTCGAACTTCAGCTCACTCACAAAAACATGTTTGGCGTACGTCAGGCCATGTTTGCTCACAGCTGCTACGCTCGATATAGAAGCGTTGCCGAAGCGGTCGACTTCAAGAAACAGTGGAGCAGTAGTTTCGCGGACAAGGAGAGCCATTGAATTAGATGCAAATTGAAAAATTTGTGTCGCAATCAGTTGAGTCAGTAGAGCCTGTTCATGGCCAAAGCACTTCTGTGATTAGGAATACTTGCTCTGTGGCATTGAAGCTCCTTCTTTTTCGCAGAGTTGCATTGGAGGTTCGCCTCACTATATTTCGAACTGCGTAGCACGTGCCTTCTTTTTCATTTGTGCAGCTTCGGATGCAATTAGGGTCCATGCAAACACTGGGATCAAGCAAATGAATGAATTATTTTTGTGATTATTCCTGTGATTCAACTTGTGAGGGCTCCTGTGATTGAACTGGGGCTGTGAGTTTCGTGTGACGGTCCCGCTACCCTCCTAAGCAAGGCGCCCCTCCAAGTTGAGGTGCCTATACTGAAGACGTGTGCCGGCCAGCTGCAGGGCTTTGCTCTGCAAGTGCGGCTCGTAGTGCAAGCACGGAAGCAAGCCGAAACTCGATCTTTGTAGAAATGGTGGGCGAATGCGGAAACTCCGTCCCATCTGCTGGAAAATCTTAAACCTTATTTCAAGCACGAGGGCATTGACTAATTTTCTAATCACTACAGTTCGCTTTCGGGCGAATGCCGAAACGGGTGGGGCAGGCTGACAGGCCTCGAGGACCCACAACACTACGCGCATCCATCTCAGCTGTGCTTTGCTGCGACATATTCATCGCTTCTTCTGGAATTGCAAAGACACACAGAGACCCAGCAAACTTTCCTGCGCCGCTGCTTGCTGTGTGAACCCTACACCTGGATTGAGCGGGGGGGTGGTCCCTACTTCCGAAGGATTGGGTCTCCCTTGCCCAGTACCCCGCAATTTCCGGGCCTTCATAATTGTGATTTAAGATACACACCTTCTAATAGTGCGTTTGCGACTATGAGTTCAGACATTTCCCTTACTTACGGGATATTACAGCATGTGAGGCTCAAGGTTGACGATTTCGGGGTACCAACTACACCCTATAAGCCCTACATCTGAAACCCTAAACCCCTACATAGCAATGATAGTGCCGGGGCAAAGTTTTCACTCCGAAAGCTCCATAACCCATTGGTTTAGGGTTTAGGTTTGGGTTGAGTTTTAGGGGTTGAGGGGGTTTAAGGTTGAGCGTGAAGGGTTTAGGGTTAACAGCGTCACCTGCCCGTTTCCTTTCGCCGCGCACCCCACAGAGCAGACCCAGGAGTAGGAGTATGGAGGTCCGTTGACAGGAGCGCGCGACGCACGAGACACAGATACTAGCACTTAAAACATCCTTCTTCTGCGCTCGCTGGTGCAGATGATGAAGAAGATGATGAACATGATAATGATGCAGTTGTTGCTGATGTTGTTGTTGATGACAAACTTGCACAGATTCAAGAAAAACCAATGATTTTGAACCGGAAAAACACGGATCAAGCCCGATCCTTGAACCAAAACAGCACACACACACACACACACACACCCACGTGATAGATTCCTAGTACTCTAGGTCCGTTTCCTGAAGCCATCTTCACTGCAGGACTGCAGCGAACCTTAACCCCGACAAACCGTATGAACCCCGAACCGCCGCAGACACGACCCTGGAAGCCAAAAGCTCTGCCGAGGTGGCCCGCGTCGCGCAAATCTCGCAGCAGACGGCGTCTTTGGGCGCAAAGATTGCAGCTCCAGGTGGGCCGGAAAATGGTTAAGGTTTATTCAATTCTCGCCGTTTTAAAGTGTTTTCGGGTTGGGGTTGAAGGTTAAGGATTTCAGCGTCCACGGTTTAGGGTTAAGGGTTCAGGGTTAAGATGTTTTAGTTAGAGTGTATGTGTTTGGGTTTAGGGTTAAGGGTTTACTGTTTGTTCTCAAAGGGTTTGAAAGGTCCTAACAGTGTCAAACGTGTTTGATCGGGTTGTTATAGGTTTGAGGAGGACTCTATGGGGTCTTTTCAATATGCCTTGCATTGCGTGTTTCTCAACTTAAGGGTTGACCTTCGTAGCTCCGCTATAAGTAGAGTCGCTAAGCGCTTTAAACATGGGTAGCCGAGTTCATAATGCCAGTTCTTGGAATAAGCCCTAGTTCCTAAACCCTAAGCCCTAAGCCCCAAAGCCCTGAAACAATGTCCAACTCCCCAAACCCTAATGCTCGGAAATAATTAGCGAACAGTTTTCAGAGCTCTGAAAAATGAAAGACACAAAGAACACTCATACAGACACCATAAATCGCCCTGACACAGGCCCAAAACAGCGCCCTGAATTGTACTGGCTTACATAATTGCCCTAAAATGTCTAGGTAAGCTTATAAAATTAAGCGCCTTCAAGAAATGACACGGCGAGCCCAACCAAAACCCAGAGGGTCCAATCCGAATATCCCTTAAGTTAGGATCCCATGGTTCATGGTCTCCTTGCTTATTGAGTAGTGTTGGCCTCTCTGGGAACCTCAAGCGTGCGCGAAGGGACCCTGAACCCTAAACCCGTGCGGAAAGGACGCTAAACCGTATGCGGTTAAGGTTCAGGGGAACCACCTGAACTCAGCATCGAATTGGCATGAGTCTGAATTAATTATTGTTCAAGAAAGAGCCTGTAATTGTAAATAGTTTGAGTCGAGTACTTTCTGAGTAAACCTTCTGCGGCCTCAGGCGCGCAGAAGGGACTTCTTCCGTTTGGCCTTGGTCGTCCGGTGACCCCTTTGGTGATCAGCGTGCCCAAAGCAGATCCCCAGGCCTCTTTATGCTGCCCTGTCTTTCTTTATGTCTTTTGTCAATTTTTCCCTACCTGTTTCAAAAGAAAATCTTGAAGAGACAAAAACACAAGTATTATGTAGTTCACACAGAAACATAGCCGATGTTTACATGCGTGTGTGTGTGTCTATAATCCTTGTTCTGGTATTCAGACACTCGAATTGCGTTGTCACGGCTTGTTTCTTTATTCGGTCGGGGAGGGGGAGGTTCGGATTTTCAGGGTTAGCGGGCAGATTTCGGGGTTCGCATGTCAGGTTTTAGGGGGTATAAGGCTCTGGGGCTGTAGGGTTCTTGGGTTCTAGGGTTGTGGCTGCTGCTACGGTTACTTGTAGTGGTAGTGCTGCAGCACTGCCACCAACACCACCGGAGGTTTTGGACTGGTCCTAGCGGTTTCGTCATATGGGAGTTTCCGAAAATAGGGGACCCTAACATAGTACCCTAAATAGTAGGATCCTTATTATAAGGACCCCCAAATAAGGTGCCCCTATTTTCGGAAACTCCCATATCAACTACGGGGACACTGCTCTAGGGGTCCCCTTGCCGGAAGTATTCTGTTTTTGCCCTCAACTCTGTTCTTGAATCCGAAAGCCTAAATCGTACAACCCTGAAATCCTCAACAGCCCAAAAGCCCTAAAGCCTTAAACCCTCAACCCCTAAACCCTAAACCCTAAACCCCTAAACCCTAAACCCTAAAGCCCTAAACCCTAAATTTCTTTATCATATAGTAATTTAAACCTTAATGGTTTTCGTTGGATAAGGCCCGAACTTCCGGACCAACCTTAATGGATTTCGTGGGATAAGGCCCAAGTCTTAACCAACCTTAATGGATTTCGTGGGATAAGGCCCAATTTCAGACCAACCTTAATGGAATTCGTGGGATAAGGCCCAAACTGCGGACCAACCTTAATGGAATTCGTGGGATAAGGCCCAAGTCCGGAGTTTGGGCCTTATCCCACGAATTCCATTAAGGTTGGTCAAGACTTGGGCCTTATCCCACGAATTCCATTAAGGTTGGTCCGGAAGCTTGGGCCTTATCCCACGAAAACCATTAAGGTTGGTCAAGACTTGGGCCTTATCCCACGAAATCCATGAAGGTTGGTCTGAAATTGGGCCTTATCCCACGAATTCCATTAAGGTTGGTCCGGAGTTTGGGCCTTATCCCACGAATCATTAAGGTTGGTCCGGAGTTTGGGCCTTATCCCACGAATTCCATTAAGGTTGGTCTGGAATTGGGCCTTATCCCACGAATTCCATTAAGGTTGGTCCGCAGTTTGGGTCTTATCCCACGAATTCCATTAAGGTTGGTTAAGACTTGGGCCTTATCCCACGAAATCCATTAAGGTTGGTCTGAAATTGGGCCTTATCCCACAAATTCCATTAAGGTTGGTCTGGAATTGGGCCTTATCCCACGAATTCCATTCAGGTTGGTCCGGAAGTTTGAGCCTTATCCCACGAATTCCATTAAGGTTGGTCCGGAAGTTTGAGCCTTATCCCACGAATTCGTGGAATAGGCCCAAACCAATTCGTGGGACAGGCCCAATTCCAGACCAACTTTAATGGAATTCGTGGGATAGGCCCAAACTTCCAGACCAAGCTTAATGGAATTCGTGGGATAGGCCCAATTCTCGAGGTTTCAAAGTTCAGGGTTTAAGCGTTCAGAGTTTAAGGGTTTAGGGTTTAAGGGTTCAGGGTTTAAGGTTTCAAGCTGTGAACGAAGTGAAACTCTGTATTTCCATGATGTTATGGGATTCTGAGGGTGGGTGGGTGTTATTTCTAAACCGTAAACACAACTCTACTTTAAAACTGCTCGATCCGGAGCTGCTGAACCCTAAACCCTAAACCCTAAACCCTAAACCCTAAACCCTAAACCCTAAACCCTAAACCCTAAACCCTAAACCCTAAACCCTAAACCCAAATACTCCATCCAGATGGGTGGTTCTCAAAATTAGGGTCCCCTTTTGGGTGCCCGAACTAATAGGTGCCGTAGAAAAAGCAGGTACCCAAAAACGGACCCTAATTTTGACAACCACCCAGATGATGGGACAAAATCCTGCATTACCTTAAGTACCCAGTCCTAGATTATGGAATATAGGGATCATGGGTTAAGAAGTATACCTTACTGGGCTCCCTGGGCACTAAATCTGAACATCATGGTCATCATGGTATAACCATTGTTTGGAGAAATGCGGGTTTGTCCATCAGCAGAGTTAGCCCGGCAGTACTTCCATCTTTTGTTTTTCATGTTGGGCTCCCCCAATCAAGACCGAATACTCGGAAAAAGAGCCGTTAAGGCCAAGAAACGGTTTCTGAGAGAGCCCGAGCCCTAGATCCTAAGCCCTGAGCTCTAAAACTCTAAACCTGCAAACCCTAAACCCAAAGCTTTGGCGCCCTTGACTAAACCCTGGCCCCCAGCTTCAAGGGCCCCAACAGAAACCCCTTAACGGTACCCTTATAGATCCCTTTACAAAAACCCCCCGAACTCGAGGCTTGAGCCGCCATAGTTCTCTACGTCCATAGCGCAGAGCGTGTGAGCGCCCTCCATATTCAAAAAACCCACCGTGCGGACTCTGTGCCCCAAACCTCAAACCCGAAACGCACCAAGCCCCTAAACCCCAAACCCTAAACGCCCCAAACCCCTAAACCCTAAACGCCCGGGCCCAAGGTTTCTTAATCAGGTTCCTACATTAAAACCACCCTAAGCCCAACGCCCTTGGCAGGCCTTGATCTCCAAGCGAGTGGAGGCTCTTCGGGTGCAAACGGTTGATGATATATATATATATATATATATATATCCTGCATTACCCATACTAAGGAAATACCATAATTCCCATAGTTTAGGGTCATTAAGGTAATGCAGGATTTCTATCATCAACAGAAAGCTTCGGCCTGTTAAGCCGGGCTTAGGGCTTTTATAGGGTTTAGGGTTTAGGGTCTAGGGTTTCAGTCTTTAGGGTCCAGTGAGAGTTTAAACCACTAGGACCGAGAGTAGGCCCTTATCTCTTTCTTTTTTTCAAGGTTTAGCTTCTCTTACAACACCCTTTAGCTCAGAAAGGGCACCCTTTTTATTCCTAGGCTTCTCACGGGTTTCAGCCAGAAGTTTCGCAGTTTCCGTGTGGTTTTGCTCCCCTGCACCAAGTTTTATACTTTCTGTTGTGAGGGTGTGCGTGTTCTTTCTTGTTTGGGTCCTGGAATTTCGGAGTCGAGGGGTTTAGGTGTAGGGTTTAGGGGTTTACTCAGAGGATCGGGGAGGGAAAAAGCTATACAGTAGAAGCCCAACAGTTGGAAACCTCATAGCCTCAATCCTTAAGAGTAATGTATGGGGAATCCCAGCACTATTTGGCCTTAATCTGGTTTCCAACTTTATGGAGATCCCCCTACCTTCCTAAGGTACGGTTGACGATACAAATCCTGCATTACCATAATGACCGTAAACTATGGGAATTATGGTATTTTCCTTAGTATGGGTAATGCATGGTTTATATCATCAACCCTAAACCCTAAACCCCCTACAGATCCCTTAAAGGAGCCCCTTAAAGGTACCCTTGTAGATCCCTTTAAAGGGACCCCAGGGATTTGTATCCTCAACCGTATGATAGTATAAGATGAGCGTCGAAAGTCGCCGGTTCTCGGACTGAAAAAAACTCCTCAGTCTAGTGGTTGATGAGTTTAGGGCTTTAAAGGGAACTCCAGAAAGTTGGAATATGGTTTCAGGGTAGGATACCCTATAATTTACAATAAAGGGTTTAGGATAATCAAATTCCAACTTTCTGGCTTTTACTTTAGGAGTTCATATATGGGTGATTGTCAAAATTAGGGTCCCTTGTTGGGTCCCTACTATAATACGGCACCTAATATTTAGGGTACCAAAAAGGGACCTTAATGTTGACAACTACCCATAAGGGTTCAAGAATTTAAGGGCGTGGGGTTTACTCTCGGGTTTTCAGGGATTTGTTCCACGGGCGAAATACAGGGCCACAGCGGGACTGTGAACAGAACATGAACACATGCGATTCTAGCCCGCGCCAGTGCGGGAACTTGGAACTGCTTTGCCTACTACTACTACTACTACTACTACTACTACTACTACTACTACTACTACTACTACTACTACCACTACTACTACTACTACTACTACTACTACTACTACTACTACTACTACTACTACTACTACTACTACTACTACTACGAGTGACTATTCCCCTAAACCCTGGGTTTCGTGGGTAAACGCACGAACTCTGCATAGATGCCACGCTGTTTCGGGTGAAAAACTCTGCAAAAGTTGCCAAGTGTGAGGCCGCCACTCGCGCGGCGGACGTTGCGAAGCAGGCAGGGCGCTTGCAGGACCGTTTCGCAGGTTTTTCAGTGGTTGGTGGGGTGTTTACTATAGGGGCCTCAAAGAAAATACGTATACTATATTGAGGGTTCCTTAGTATAAGCATAGTATAATGGGCCCCAACACCCTATTCTAATCATGAAGGCCCCTATATTGTAGGGTTTTATAGGAAGTTTAGGGTTGTCTGGGTTGCAGGCTTTGGGGTACCTCAAGCCGCGAAGTTACGCCCTTCCCCAAAGAGCCCAATACCCCGTTTATTAAGGAACATATACCCCAAACTACAGGGTCTTTTCTATGATGCTTGCAGGTAAAATAAACACTCAACCATCAGCCTAAACCCTGATCACCGAAGTAAGGGGTACTCGATGGCTCGGTGGGCCCAACATTCCAACCTAGATAGTCAAGGCAGGGACCCGTTGATACTGTTGATGGACAAAATCCTGCATTACCCCTTATAAGGAATATACCATAGTTCCCATAGTTTAGGGTCCTTAAGGTCATGTAGCATTCTGTCCATCAACAGTACTTCAAGGCTTTAAGGGTTTAGGGTTTCGGGTTTCAAGGCCTTAAGTCTTTGTGGTTTGGATCCAAAACCTTCCGTAAAACCGGATCAAAGCCCTTAAGTAGGGTTTGGTTTTTGAATCTGGGCAATCTCAGCCCCTAAACCCTAAACCCTAAACCCTACACCCTAAACCCTAAACCCTAAAGCCTAAACCCTAAACCCTAAATTTTTGATTCAGGCTTTGGGTCTGGAGTGTCGGGTTTCGGGTCAAGAGGAAACTTAAAGTTGGGGGGGTGTAGATTAGGTACGGCCCCCATACAGTAGGAGTCTATAATAGGGCTACTGTTAAGGTCCTACTATATCTATATTATGAATACTATTCAACTATTACTGAGTGGGGGCCGTACCCAAGGTGTAGAAGTTTAGTTCACCGGGTCAAAAGTTTAACCCCTAAGCCTCAAAGATCAACTCCGAACACCCGCGTCCAACAGGTGCTTCGAAGGCAGATCGACTTTGAGGCGGGACACGCACGGTTTAGGGTTTAGGGTTTAGGGAACTCAGCCGCACGCCCCGAATCGCTAAGCCTCAGTTTTCGAGCGACGTTTGAAACCTGAACCCTGAACCCGAAGTTCTCTTGAACATGAAACCTGAAGCCGTGAACCATGAAAACTAATCCCTAGACAGCGAACGTTAAGTGCCAGACCCTAAAACCCATGTGGGTGGTTGTCAAATTATGGTCGCTTTTTGGGTCCCTATTATGATACGGCACCCATTATTTAGGGTGCCCAAATGGGACCCTAATTTTGACAACCACCCGTGTCCGGGTCTAGAGTTAAAGCTGAGTCTCTGGGAAGGAGTCCCCTTAACCCGAAACCCTGTAGATCCCTTATAGGAGCCCCTACCCCTAAAGGAACCCCTAGGGGTAAAATCACTTTAAAAGGACCCCTAGGAACCCTTCGAGGATCCCTGTAAAGGGAGTCTCTGGGAAGGACGAGGCGAAGATCCGAAAGTTGCTCATCAAGGGCCTAAAGCACGAGCCGGACTGGGCCGTGGCGTTCCAGGACGGGGCTTTTTGGGGTTTAGGGGTTTGGGGCCTGTAGGGGTTTCGGGGTTTAGGGTTTATGGGCTTAGGGGTTGAGGGTTTAGGAGTTTTGGGGTTTAGGGGTTTAGGGGTTTAGGGGTTTAGGGGTTTAGGGGTTCAGGGTTTAGGGGTGCTTAATTTCTTTTTGTAGTCCGTAGTTCTTTTAATCCTGAAGAAGCAGCTAAGGTTGTAAATTTTTGCTAGGGGTCTAAGTTCAGTAGCGGTGCGGGCTAGTGGGGTTGATGTGGTTTGTCTCTCTGCGGACTGTTTTCCTCGCTGTTTTTTCAGGCTTTTGTGTTTAAAACCCTAAGCCCAGGTTTCTATATTGTTTTGGAGGGGTTTAGGGTGCCCGCTTCGTCAAGGAATCACTTCTTGTCTTAGGGTTTTAGGGTTTGGGCTGTGCTCTACCTTAACCTACCAGAACCTAGTTTTTGTAGGGTCCCTAAAAATCCCATATTCGAGTTTATAATTTACAGAAAAGTAGGGTTTCATGGGTCTCTGGGTAGGCTACTTTCCGCACGCTCTCCTAATTCCTAAACCCTAAACCTTAGAAGGGACAAAAAAACCTTAGAAGGGGCCCCCACCCCGTAATAGTGACTATAAAGGATTACATTAGGGCCCCAGTATATTCCTACTATACCACTATTACAGGGTGGGGCCCCTTCTAACCTCAACCCTAAACCGTAATTCCTAATCCCTAAACCCTAATTCCTAAACCCTAATTCCTAAACCCGAAACGCTAAACCCTAAACCCTAAACCCGAAACCCTAAACCTGTTTCAATCACAGAAGCCACAGGACTTCTGCAACCGGCGGCGCGTGGCCCCTGAAGCGGCCGTGGTGAACGCCCCACGGGAGCCCGGGCACAGAAACTCGGAGGCCTCACAAGGTGGGATGAAGGTAGGTGGGATTAAGGATCCCTTATATAAGGACTCTTATTTGGGAATATCCCACCTACCTTCATCCTACCTTTTGAGGCCCCCGAGAAACAGACTGAAGGGTTAGGGAACGGTTGGGGCCCCCTAACTCACGAAGGCCAAAAGGGCGTGGGCTTGGCCTTTGCTTGCTTTTTTTTTGGTGTTGGGTGCTTTGGGTTCAGGGTTGTTATGCTTATGACCTACGGACCAGGGAATCCTGGCCCATGACAGAGTGCCCTGCATCTGCAAGGTACAACAACTACTATGTGGGGTTCTGACTTCGTCAATTAGTGAATAGTGGCTGGTGGGGTAGGGGAGCAATGGGCTCTTAATAGCTACAGCTACTCATTGGGGTCTTAAGAACTACTGATACGATTCCTGAGGGTTCCTTATCATAAATACAACACAGAAGACCCCAGACTCTTTACCTTAAGCCCCACTAGGAGGGTCGGGGGACTTATTAAGTAGCTATTTTGTAGAGTTATAAGTATCATGACCCCAATTAGGGTCCCTTTTAGGGTACTTATAACTCTACTTACTGCCTACTTACTAAGTCCCATACCTCCCCTCCCTTGTAGATCCCCTGATAATCACCCTTATAGATCCCTTTAAGGAGCCCTGTAAGGAGCCCCTTTACCTGAAGCCCCCTGCTGGATCAGACTTCGGGGTTGGATCCCCCCGATCTGGACCGTAGGATTTTTTGTTTCTAGCCATACCTTTGGATGGCGTATTGGCTGTAAACTCAACTTTGCAACTTTTGGGGCTCTTATAAGGTGGTCGATTCTGAAAGTTTCAACTTTTATTTTCGGGATCCTACTATACTTCAGGGTGTGTTCCTCAATTAAGGGATATTGGAGTCTCTGGGGGCTAGGGGTTTGGAGTTTAGGGTTCGGGCATTGGCCCCTTCCTCAAACTCCATACTTTATGTTATGAGTCCGGTGCTTCAGGAGTTTTGAGGTTAGGGTTCCAGGCAGTTTGTTTTTTTGGGTGCAGGAGCAGAGTTGTTTGGTTCCAGCGGTTCTAGTGCTTAAAGCACAAAAATTGGGTGGTTAAAGCCTGGCAGGTAGGGCACAAGTGAACGCCTTGGGAGGCCAACTTTCGGCGGATGTGGTTTTCGTCCGGACGAGGGTACCCGCACTCGGGATCATCTTATGACATCCCAACCGAACATGTAGGAAGCTGATGAAGGAACCCATGTTCCGGACTAAGGTTCTTCATATTTGTTGTGTATCCTACTACTTTGGGGGGGTTAGGGTTTAGTGGCATCGGGTCTCCGCCCAAAGCCCCCTCCGGCATTCAAGCAGGAGTTCATCACCACTTTCGTCCAGGAGAACTTGCCGAACTCCATCAACACGGACACTTGCAAGAACATAACCCTCAATCCCGAAATCCCAACAACCCTAAGCCCTGCACGGTCCACCCCCTTCCAATTACTCTTACAAGTGTTATTACTATTACTATTACTGTTACTATCACTATTACGATTGCAAGAGGATGGGATTCAGGTGAGATGGAAACTCGCAGCCACTAAGCATCAAACGCAGAAGCTCTGGATTTCCCAAGGCAGCGCCCACACTGTTCTCAGAGTTACATGAACCTAAAAAAAAGCCCTACGTTTCTTGGGGTCCGTATACAGTCTATATTCGGGGTAAAGCATAAGAACCTGCAAAAAAGGTTGTGGTCTGCATAAAGCCTACTCAACCCTTAAAAACCGCCAAATCTCGACCCCTAAACTCTTGACCCATAGCCCTTGATGCTAGACCGATCACATTGCCATGCGAGACCCAACCTACCTGAAGCTATTGACCGCAGGGCTATTGGGCGCGGGGTTTTCGGAATTTCCGGCTTAAGGTTTCGACGATGCTGTTGCTACCGGTTGGGCGTGGTGGTGATGGTGGTGTTGGCGGCGTTGTTGCCATTGCTGCTGGAGGGCCGGGTTCTCGGAAATTCCAGGGGACCCTACACCCTAAACCCCCTAAACCTCCTAAACCTCCTAAACCTCCTAAACCCTAAACCCCATAAACCTCCTAAACCCTGAAGGGTGCAGGGGTTTTAGGTCAGGATCCTCGTCACAACCGTAAGGTCCATTCGTTGATCAGTGCCCTCGTCAGAGCACGGAGGCGAATTTTTCTGCTTCCGAAGGTTTCGCAGAAACCTAAAACCCTGCACCCTTTAGGGTTTAGGGCTTATGGGGTTTAGGGTTTAGGGTTTAGGGGGTTTAGGGTTTAGCCCCGACGACGAAAGAAACCACGAAATCGCGCCCTCAGCAGAAGAAATCAGACTTTGGGCCCCGCAACCCTGTGAAAAAAAACGAGGCCACAGGCTTTGCTTGCTTTTAGGGTTTTTAGGGTTTAGGGGTTTAGGGTTTAGGGTTTAGGGTTTTTAGGATATTCATATAGTGAATGGGTGCCCCTCAGCCCCAAACCTTAAACATTTAATCCTCAGCCCTCAACCTCAAGCCCTAAACCCTGAAACCTCAACGCCTTAAGCCCCAAGCCACAAAACCCGAGCCCCACACTCCAAGTCCGAAGCCTGTGATTACTTGCCTGAGGAGTGGGCGCAGAAAGTCATCCATGGCAAGGACTCCAGTTAAGGGTTTGAAGGGTTTAGAGTGTTAAATTTCGGGACTAGGGTTTAGGGACCCCGGTTAAGGGTTTCAAGGTTGGGTTATTGGAGGTATTTAGGGGCTTGGGGGCGAGGTTTGCAGTACAGGTTGCGCTTAAGGTTTAGGACGTAAGGTGCAGGGATAAGGGTTCTCTGAGGGTGTTTTTCAGTGTTTCAATAGGGTTCCCCACAGGGATGGCTTGACCAGAAACAAACGGGGAGGAGTTTAGGTGGCATCTGCGAAGGAGTAGGCTAGGCGAAGTTCTGCGAGCGAGAGTTCCCTTAAACCTTAATTTGGAAGCCCTGAACACCCTGAATTCTTTGCTTTAACGACGCAAGCCCCTAAAGCCCCAAGTAGGGTTTAGGGTTTAGGGTGCGTAGTGCGAAGATCTTCGAAACCCACAGCAAAACAAAGGACAAGAAAGAGAAGAAGGACAAAGACAAAGACAAGTCCAAGAAGGACCCCAGCGCTTCGTTGGCTTTGGGTTTTGGGGTCTGGAATTTTAAGGCTTTGGGTTAAGGTTTAGGTTGTGGGTTTGGGTTTTAGGGGTTCAGGGGTTTGGATCTTGAGGTTGCGGCTAAAGGCTAGTGCGGTCTGGCTGTAGGGGATTGGGGTTGCATAGAAAGGTTCTCGGTGTAGGGGGTGCGGGGTTTACGGATTACTTCGGGTCTGCTGCAACGGGCGTTTTATTTCCGAAGCCCTGAGCTCTAACCCCACAGAAAGCTTCCCAGAAGCTCCAATATCCCTTCATTAAGGAATATACCTTACATCACGTAAGGGATCCTACGATAATGTCAGGTATGTTCCTTAAGTCAGGGATATTGGAGTGCTTGGGTTAACGCCTCAAATCCCCAGGGGCTGAGAGTGTAGGTTTAGGAATTCCCTTGTCGCCTGGGCAGGACAAGAAGGAGAAGAAGAAGGACAGACGTCTTGTCAGCCCTGAATAAGGGTTTAGGGGTCTAGGGTTTGGGGGTTTAGGGTTTCGGGTTTGGGGATCCTAAATCCTTAAGCCATAAGCCCTTAACAAAAAGACCCTTGAGCCGTCAAGAGCCTTAACCCTAACTTAACCCCAAACAACCTACCTGTCTAAGGACGTATATACAGAATTCAAACAGAACCCCTAAGACACAGGCCCTAAACCCTTTCTCGTGGGAGTTTGAAACCCGAAGCATCGCTTCCCTTATGAGGGAATGCTACCTTCAAGGGTTTTTAGCTCTGGTGTATGTTATTGGGGGTTTAGGGTTTAGTAATTTAGGGTTTAGGGTGTAGGCATGCATCCATTGCCCAAAGTCCCGACGCGACCACTTGAAGACCAACTACGCGCACCACTGCGCCTTCAGTGTACCTCTCACTTCACTTTGGGGTTATTGTGGCTGGTATCGTTATTATCACAGGCATTGGTGAACATTTATTCCGCCGTGACCAACTCATGACTGGTACAAATATGATGATCAGCATTATCGCTGCTAAACCCTCTTGCAATCCCTTGCCTTCAACCTTACACTATAATTTCCGTTATCCTGAACGTAGAACCTCGATCTAGACCCTAAGCTTCAGACTCTACACCCCAAAAGCCATATCCAAACCTAGGCCCCAAGAAGCCTAAATTCAACACTCTAAATTCCAAACCCTCAGCCCCCAACCCTAACCCTAACCCACATCTCTCAAACCATAGACTCAAAGCCTTAACCCCAAGAAGAGAAGGCCGAACGAAAGCCATATCCCTGAGAGAAGAGCTAAAAGAAACCCTGACACAAAACTACACCCTAAACCCTGAACCCTAAGCTCTAAACCCTGAACCCTAAGCCCTAAACCCTAAACCCTAGGCCCCAAGCCCTCAACTCTAAGCCCTAAGCAAAACACCCTAAACCCAATAAACTCTAAACCCTAAGCCCTAAACCCTGAACCCGAAGCCCTAAACCCTAAACCCTAGGCCCCAAGCCCTCAACTCTAAGCCCTAAGCAAAACACCCTAAACCCAATAAACTCTAAACCCTAAGCCCTAAACCCTGAACCCGAAGCCCTAAACCCTAAACCCAGCCCTAAACCCAAAGCCCTAAGCCCTCAACCCTAAGCCCTAAACTCTAAACCCGAAGCCCTAACCCTAAACCTTTACATAACCCCATAACCCCTAAACCCTAAGCTCTAAACCCTAAGCCGTAAACCCTAAACCCTGAGGCCTAACCCTAAACCCATACCGCTACAGACTAGTGGAGTTGCAAAAAGGCCCTCCAAAAAATCCCAAAGCCCTAACCCTAATCCCTTCAACTTTGGAGGAGAAGCAGGCGAAGCGAGAGGCCGAGGCACAGGACCCGGAGTAACCCTGTCGAAGCTTTTCATCGCTCTTGGGGTTTAGGGGTTTAGGGTTTGGGGTTTAGGGTTTAGGGGTTTACGGTTTAGGGTTTAGGGGTTTAGGGTTTAGGGTTTTAGGGTTAAGACATTCAAAACACTGTAACCTCTGGAAATCAACAAAAAGATAAAGAAACAAAACAAATATCAAAAAAAACAAAAGAAAACCAAAAAATAAAGCAACAACATCATAGAGAGCAGGGGAGGCCCTGGGAGGCCTTGGGAACTTTTTTTTTTTTTTTTTGTATTTTTTTTTTTTTTTTGTTTTTTCCTAGGGACTTTTTTTTTTGTGTTTGTTGCTTTGTTTTTTTTGTTTTTTTTTGCTTTTTTTAGGAAAAAAAGCAAAAAAACAACAAAAACAAAGCAAAAAAAAGGGTCCCTAGGAAAAAACAAAAAAACTACAAAAAAAAAGCACCCACGGCCTCCCACCTGCTCTCTATGATGTGTTTTTTTGTTTTTGCTTGGTTTTTGTTTTGTTTTTTGTTAGTTGTTGTGGTTACTGGCTAGATGTACGTGTTTGGTTTTTGTTTGCTTTTATTTTGGTTTTATTTATCTTTTTGACATATCCCAGAAGTTAAAGGATTTAATTTCTCAAGTTTAGGGTTTAGGTTTTTTTCATCGCTTGTGTTCCTCAAAAGGGGGCCTATGAGGGATCTGTGATAATCGGCTAATAGGGTTCTATAATAGGGTTCTATGACATAGGGGCCGATTTACGAATTAGAAACACAAATCTCACAAAGTCGTTGGGGTTTAGGGTTTAGGGTTAAGGGCTTAGGGTTTAGGGAAGTAGTGTTGATGATGGAAATCCTGCATTACCCATAATAAGGAATATACCATAATTCCCATAGTCTAGAGTCATTAAGGTAATGCAGGATTTATATCATCTCGAAGCGTAGGGTTCAGGGTTTAGGGTATAGGATGCGTATGTGTTGGCCTGTTTCAATTTCAGGCTTTCAGTTGAGCCACGGATAAATCAGCCCTCTCCTTAAACAAGTGAACTCCCTTGAGGAAAGTGGGCTTATTCATCAGAGGTCTACATGAAAGGTTTGTGGGTTTAGGACTTGGGGGTTATGCGGCTACGGGTCGGGCTCCGGATCTCTAAAAGAAGCACCAAAACAGGTTCAGGCCCAACGATCCATGCTCTGTTTGAGGCAGCCGCGACAGTCAGCAACAGCACATCAAGTAGTCTCTCCATGACGCTATAGGGGATTTTGGTGAGTGTAATATACGGCCTGAGTAACTAGAAAGATTATTCCTTAGCCTTTCGGATTTAGGGGTTCAGGGGCTGTACCCCCAAAGCCCTAAACTCCAAACCTTAACCCCTAAACTCAACACCCAAAGCCCACAACGCTGAACCCCAAACTAAACAAAACCTTAACCCTTAAACACTAACCCCTAAACCCTAAACCCTTAAACCCCCTAAGCCCTAAACCCTAAACCCTAAACCCTAAACCCTTAAGTCTTAAACCCTAAACCCCCTAAACCCTAAAGTCTTAAACCCTGACCTGAGGCCTTTTAGGGTGAGTTTCCGTTCATTGCGAGGAAGCTGGTGCGGCGCAAACTCGACAGCGGACCTGACCTTCTGAGCCCAAGGGTTTAAGACTTTAGGGTTTAGGGTTTAGGGTTTAGGGTTTAGGGTGTAGGGTTTCGGGGTTAACGTAATAGCCTTAAGTTGCATATCCAAGCTGAATCTTTAGCTTCTCCGAGTCCTTATCTTCGATAAATTCCGGGAGCCTTGAACTCCTGGTAGCTAAACGCTCACAACGCATGAAGCCTTGATAGAGCCTTGATGAAAACCCATCATGCATCCCTCTGAAAGACCCGTGTCAAGATCAAAAGCCCTGATAAAATTTAGCTCATGAAAACATCCATGCTTGGAGGGTCGGGGGACTTAGTAAGTAGTTTATAAGTAGAGTTATAAGTACCCTAAGAGGGACTCTATTTGGGGTTATGGTATTTATAACTCTAGAAAAATATCTACTTAGAAAGCCCACCGACCCTCCAAGTGAGGCCTAAACCCTAACTCGCGTGTCACCCCGACCTCGGGCCACGACCGGTGGGCTCAAAACGGCAGCAATTTGTTGCTATGCTGGGTTTAGTGCTTCTGGCTTTAGCTTTTGCCCTGAGCCCCATATGGGTGGTTGTCAAATTAGGGTCCCTCTTTGGGTGCCCTAAATATCAGGTGCCGTGTTATGAGAAGGACCCAAGAAAGGAGCATAATTTTGACAACCACCCATAAAAAGTGGGGCTTTAAGTAAGGAGTCAGACGACGGGTTGAGCGCTGAGATTGAGTGTTTATGCGTAAGGGCTGGCCCAGAGATCCCAATACCCCTGAATTAAGGATTATGGATGAAATTGTAGGGGGCTTCATATTGTGATTTAGGGTATATTCTTTAAGTAAGGGGTAGTGGGTTCTTTGGGGGTTTAGAGTATAGGGAACCCGTGTTTTTTTTTTTTGCTGTCGTTGCCTTTATGTTTTTTTTTGTTCTCGTTGCGCGGACCCAGGAAGCCGGTGAGTGAGTGAACCCCGGTGCCCGCACCGACAGCAAAAAAAAAACGCGCCCCCGCACCGACAGCAAAAAAAAAGCGCCAAACGACAGCAAAAAAAAAAACGTGCCCCCCGCACCGACAGCAAAAAAGAACGCGCCCCCGCAACGACAGCAAAAAAAAAAACGCGCCCCCGCAACGACAGCAAAACAAAAACGCGCCCCCGCAACGACAGCAAAAAAGAAATCGCGCCCCCAGGGACGACCGCCCCCGCAAACAACAGTATCGGGAACGACACAATATCTGGGTGTTTAAGTTGCTCATTTAAGGTTTCTATCAAGTGGTAGTAGTAGTAGTAGTAGTAGTAGTAGTAGTAGTAGTAGTAGTAGTAGTAGTAGTAGTAGTAGTAGTAGTAGTAGTAGTAGTAGTAGTAGTACTAGTAGTACTAGTAGTACTAGTAGTACTAGTAGTACTAGTACTAGTAGTAGGGAGGGCGGCTGTTTTAAGCCGTCTGCAAGCTTGCGTGATCTTGCGTGACAGCATAGAGGTCGTTTCGGGGAACCCACCCTGCATAATATGATATGTGCGTTTTGGAAACAACGCCATTCACCCAGCGAAAAACTTGTTTGCAAATGGGAAGCCTGTCCCGCACGTGCGAGAGTGCCACGCTTGCTTGACAGCATATATATATATATATATATATATGCGTTGTATTTAAAACCAACCATGCGAGCATCCTGACTCCCCCCCGCCGCCCCTATGATTTTGTTGTAAACCAGCCATGCGAGCATCGTGATTGCGAATGGGGGGGGCTGCGCCCCCCCCAACCCCCCCGCTGTTTTCAGCCGTGTGCAAGGTTACATGACGGCGTAGAAGTCGTTCTTGAAACCCGCGATCCCTGAGATGTGTCTTTTAGAAACCAATACCATTTTTTACCTTGTGACAAGGGTGTTTGCAATCGGGGAGCCTGCGCCGGGCATGCGAGAGTGGCACTTGGTTGACAGCACATATGCGTTTTTTGTTTCAGCCGACCACGCCACCATCATAGAATCGCAAATGTGGGGGGCTGCGCCCCCCTCCAACGCCCCCGCTGTTTAAACCAGCCATCGTGATTGAAAATGGGGGGGGGCTGCGCCCCCCCCAACCCCCCCGCTGTTTTAAGCCTTGCGCAAGGTTGCATGACAGCCTGGGAGTCGTTCTTGAAACCCGCGATGCCTGCGATGAGTCGTTTAGAGACAAAACACCATTCACCTTGTGACAAGGGTGCTTGCAATTGGGAACCTGCGCCGGGCATGCACGTGCGAAGCAAGAAACCCCGGCACGCGCAACAACACAACGGCGAAACAAAAACAGTGGTTTTGCTTCGCATCACTGTAAGGTCGGAGCTTACGATACTCAACTGTCACCTGCTATGCAGTCACTCGACGCGCCATGCAGGAGCCAAACAAGTAGTAGTAGTAGTAGTAGTAGTAGTTGTTGTTGTCGTAGCAGTAGTAGCAGCAGTAGTAGTCGTAGTAGTGGTAGTAGTGCTAGTAGTAGTAGTAGTAGTCGTCGTAGTAGTAGTAGTAGTAGTAGTAGTAGTTGTAGTAGTAGTAGTAGTAGTATAGTAGTAGTAATATATATGATGATAATAAACAAGCGCCCGGGGAGCACAACGACAGCGAAAAAAACCGCGCCCCGCAGGCACGACAGCCAAAAAAAAAACGTGCCCCGCAGACGACAGCAAAAAAAAAACGCGCCCCGCAGGGACGACAGCAAAAAAAAAAACGCGCCCCGCAGGGACGCAAAAAAAAAAACGCGCCGCCGACAGCAAAAAAAAATACGCGCCCCGCAGGGACGACAGCAAAAAAAAAAACGCGCCCCGCCACGACAGCAAAAAAGCAGCGACAGCAAAAAAAAAACACTCTTACCTAGAGTATAGAAAGGTTTGGGGCTCAGGGCTTCGGCTTCAGCAGGGCGTTAACGGGGGGCTTCGTAATGGCATTAGGGCATTGAGAAGCCCAATGCCATTCTGCCCAACTACACCCTGAAGCCTTAAACCCGAAACCCCCCTGAACCCTAAACCCTAAACCTCAAACCCTAAAACCCGTGAGCATTGAAGCTTTAAACCCGAAACCTAGACCCTAAGCTCGTAAGCCCGAGAGCTTAGCCCTCAGACTTTTAACCTCGAAACTCCCGACCCTTTGGGGGTTTAGGGTTTAGGAGTTTAGGGGGTTTAAGGGTTAGGGTTTAGGGTTTAGGAGTTTAGGGGTTTAGGGGTTTAGGGGTTCAGGGTTCAGGGTTTGAGGGGTTTCAAGGGTTTTGGGCTGGGGTGGCTGTACGGTTCTGTTTCAGTTTAAACTCCTAAACCCGAAACCCCAAACCCAGAAGACATAAGTTGGACTCTGATGCCCCGTGTTTTATGCCACGCCCGAGCGACTGACGGTTTAGGGTTTAGGGTTTATCCTTTCTTCCCTGTTCTTCGGCCATTTTGATGGTGATAAACCGCCAGGGATTGTTAGAAGCTATAACTTGCATTGTGGTTCCAGGGGCGCTCCAGTTTAGAGTTTCGCATTAGGGGGTTACGTTGTGGAGTCTACCCGAAATCGAGTTACCTTACAGCCCTGAGTTGCATTCAGAATTCAGGCACATCGGATTAGGCCCTCAAGCCCGCATGGTCCGCAGCGTTTAGGGACCGTCTTTAGGGACCTTGGGGTTTAGGGACCTTGCGTTTAGTGTTTAGGGACCTTCTTTAGGGACCTTAACGTTTAGGGACCTTGCGTTTAGTGTTTAGGGACCTTCTTCAGGGACCTTAACGTTTAGGGACCTTGCGTTTAGTGTTTAGGGACCTTCTTTAGGGACCTTAACGTTTAGGGACCTTGCGTTTAGTGTTTAGGGACCTTGTTCAGGGACCTTAGGGTTTAGGGACCTTGCATTTAGCGTTTAGGGCTTAGGGACCCTCTTCAGGAACTGCAGGGTTTAGGGACCTTACGTTTTTTCGGTACAGCACACGGTTTAAGGGTTTAGGGGTTTAGGGTTTAGGGGTTTAGGGTTTAGGGTTTAGGGTTTAGGGTTTAGGGTTTTGGGAACACGTCCAGGTCTGACAAAGATAAAACTCTACACTGGAAAACCCAAAATGGGAAGACCTTTGGGCCTTTGGGTGTACAACCCTGAACTCTTAAACCCTTAACCCTTAAGCCCTTCCCAGAGACTCCAATGTCCCTAAATGAAGGAATATACTGTAAACTATAGTAGGATCCCTGATAGGGTTTAAGGTATATTCCTTCATGAAAGGATATTCGAGTCTTTGGGAAGAAGGCCCGCTGTAGGAGCAAAGGAGTTCTCATTACAAGCCCTAAACCCTAAACCCTAAACCCTAACCCCTAAACCCTAAACCCTTGAAGCCCTAAACCCTTTAAGCCCGAAAGCCTTTAAGCCCTAAGGCCTTTAAGCCCGAAACCCTTGAAACCCTAAACCCTTGAAGCCCTAAACCCTTTAAGCCCAAACCCTGTAACCCCTAAACCCTAAAAAGGCCGAGAGGCTTAAATCCGAAAAACTTAAAAAAACCCTGAGACCCAAGCCATCGACCGGGGATCCTAGCGCTGGAGTCAGGGTGTGGGGCTGCACAAAACCTCCAAGCAGACTCGGTATTAAGGCTCCTTAAAGGGATCCTTAAGGGGTTCCTGAAAAAGATTTATAAGGGAGTATAAGGGGCTCTACAAGGGAGGGTCGGGGGACTTACTAGAGTTGTCAGTGCTTTAAACGGGATCCTACTTGGGGTCATGGTACTTATGACTCTGCAAAGCAACTACTTGATAAGTTCCCCGCCCTCCAAGTAACTTCCTAGCCCTAATCCGAAAGCCGGAAAGTCTAGATCCAAAACCAAAACTCAAACCTCGAAGCTCTAACGGTGCATATTCCCCCAACCTCTATTGGAGAACGCTCGATTTTTCTCAGTTCTCCCCCAGAAACCTTTTTATAGTGGCACGGCAGGTGCTGTCCACGGAGTTGGAGAGGGTTTCAGACAAGAGATTTCTGATGGATACCGAGGCCGATCTGGGGGTCATACCCTAAGGGTCCAGATATCTCCTTTGGAGGGTCCGGAATGTCCT